CTCAGATGCTTTGTTTCACCAAACCATCTAGGAAAGCTCCATTGGAAGCCATTTGGAAAAGGGCAGGCACTTTAAAAAATACTTGGCAGGTGATTGGATCAATCTGTCTATCACCTTCTATCATGGGCCACTTCTGATTGGTTAACAATGGCTGGAACATTTGGAGCACAGCACTTCTGATTGGTGTGGATGACTGACACACAAGACATTCTTTTTTTTTTTTTTTTAAAGAAATCGCAGGCTTTGCGATTTTTTTAATTGCATAATTTCAAATTGCGATTTCGATTTAAAATCGATTAATCGTTCAGCCCTAGTTTGTGTCACTTTTTAATGCTGCTTAGAATAACCGGCCTCACTGACTGTTAGAGGAACAAGCTCACTTCCTTCTTGCCGCTCGATCGATACCACTCACACGTCTGTATGTTAAATGTGAAGATTCATTCAACAGCTGTTAGATTAGCAGAAAGACTTGAAACAGCTAGTCTAGTTCTGTCTAGAACTTTTTTTTTTAAACTCTGCGTACAGTACCAGTCACAAATTCACCAGTTTACCTCGTTTGTTCTATTCAAAAGTGTAAAGCAATTCAATTTGATATCACAGAGTCTTGTTACTGTGCGTTTGCCAGGCAATTAGTTGAGAATATAAGGCCTAGTCCACATGTACGCTGGGATTTGTTCGAATTATTTAGAAAAATCCCTTCCACACAACCACTGTTTATGAAAAATCTCTGCCCAAATGAAAATGCACAGTTGGAGCGCTGAAAAGGCCAAAAGTTAGGTTGGACCCCAATCAAATAAAGTGTTGGATATAACCATGTAGTATTCTGATGCCTCTGTTCCTCAATATAGTGGAACAGTAAATGTACAATAATTGGTAAGCTTGCATGTTTAGAAAACGTCTACTTATAAAGTTTGAACCAGCACTATTTTGGCCATGTCCTCTGTTTGCATGGCCTCACTTTTTGACACCTTACAAAATAACACATGTGCACACTTTTAATGTTACAAGCCAAAAAATGTACCCATCGACACTGAAAACTTGACTCAAAAGCTGTCTTCTCAGTCACTTAAAACCCCTTGTGGGTGTGGAGAAAAAACCTAAACACATAGAAAAAGCAACATTTTTAAAATGCCAATGTAGGTGTCGACTGGGCCTGAGGGGGAAAACCCACTAAAGCTGTTACAGTGCAGTGTTGGTATGGATGACTACAACAAGTGAGTTGCTTTTAGAGGTGCAGGTAGGTGGATTTAGCTACTTCCGGAAAAAGCTAAGCTAGCTGTTTGTGTTTGTGCTAAGCTAACCACATGCTGGATGTAGATGGGTATGAACTGTACCGAAAGAGAGTTGCATTGATCTCCTGAAAGCAAATTCCCCAAAATGTCAAACTTCTTTTGAATATTACAATGAACGTGCTTTAGCAAGGCTCTATCTAGTCAAAGGGAGCTGTAGTCAGCATTTCCTGACTTACTGTGTGTGTGTGTGTGTGTGTGTGTGTGGTGTGTGTGTGTGTGTGTGTGTGTGTGTGTGTGTGTGTGTGTGTGTGTGTGTGTGTGTGTGTGTGTGTGTGTGTGTGTGTGTGTGTGTGTGTGTGTATGTGTGTGTGTGTGTGTGTGTGTGTGTGTGTGTGTGTGTGTGTGTGTGTGTGTGTGTGTGTGTGTGTGTGTGTGTGTGTGTGTGTGTGTGTGTGTGTGTGTGTGTGTGTGTGTGTGTGTGTGTGTGTGTGTGTGTGTGTGTGTGTGTGTGTGTGTGTGTGTGTGTGTGTGTGTGTGTGTGTGTGTGTGTGTGTGGCCTCAATCTTCCTGATACTCCACAAACATTCTCCATAGTTTGTTTTACCATATAAGGCGGTGTGCGTCCCTGGCAGCCGGAGAATGCAAAGCGGTTGCTAAAGGAAGGGGCATGGCCACGAGACGGAGAGAAAACCGGCTCTGAAAGAAAGAACAATCAAAGGGGGGAAATGAAAGGATGTCGGGCAGCACACTTCCTGTCACTTCTTTTTAAGATCCTCTTTTGTAAAGTCACATTAACGTCTATTCTGAGAGTATGTTAGGCTTGTCATAAGACTATAGTTCTTGTGACCTTTACCTGAACATTGCCGCCTGTTATCTTTGTGGCTATCTCTGAATACTCAAAGAGTTTGTGTTTGTGTGCTTTAAGCTTTGGTTAAATTATGAAATGAAACTGCAGAAGGGAATGTACTTTCAAACATTATCTTCAGGACTTACAGGAAAAGCTTCTCTGGTCATGGCTGAGTGAATTAGAGGCGTGAGAGTGTGTACTTTCTGCTTTCTTACTTTACACAAGGCTATATCTGTCTGAAAGGGGATTCCCCCCATCTGTGATTGTGAACATTTGATAACAGAAAGCACCCCAGGTTGCACACATTTGAAGATGTTACCAGCATTGTGTGGCGTTAGGGAAGACTTTGGTTTGTGTGTTACTTGACGACACGCATTACACGTGCGGGAAACCTGCCTGGTTGCTAGCTGCTGATGTTTGTTTTAGAGCAGCAGAGATTGACAGAGTGACTGTTTGCATGTTTTTGTGTGTCTGCAAGTGCATCTCCAGCGTTTGATGTGCCTGTGTGGCTCACCTAACGCTCATGAATAGCATGTTTGTTTGTGCGCAGACTGAATCCTTCACACTGCATTGCTTCACTCCGGACTCAGGGAGTTACAATGCCTGTTATTTCAGGCTCTGATTGAATTCTGTTTGCCGTTTCTCAACAGCGACATGAAGTGTTGACATTGCTGATGAGATTTCAAGATGTTTGACCGATTTATGGCTTTTCATTCATTCCGTGTTAAGTTTGGTTTTTCCTCCTATCAAGTGCTGGTTGTTTTAAGGCATGTCAACGCTAGTTTGCAGACATTTCCTGTCTCATATCAGCGGCCTCCCCCTGTGGGTGCAGCAGGGCAGGACCTGGGAGAGGACAGAAAAAGAAGGAGAGGTGGAAAGACTGAGTGGCTAGTCAGCAGTCTAGGGTGACATGGAGAAATTAAAATAGGGGCCTGTGCCAACAAGAAGGAAACCATGCTTTCATTTCCTGAAATATGGAGTCTATGACAGAATGGAAGTGTATCGAGGTCTATTTATTCCCAGCTCAAACAGACTTAATAACGTTTCCGTTCTTTCTGAGCTCTTCTCTCCACAGTGTTACCTTTCCTCCTCACTGCCCATCCTTTCTTTTTACTTCTCTTAATGATTTTATCTCGCCAAGATCATATCATCAGCATGACTCCACATACCTGTAGGCTGAAGTGCAGACTCTTTGACTGGCAGCCTGACTCCTGGCTAATGAGTCACTGACCTACAAGCTGCTGCTGCCCTGCGACTGAGCACAGAAAAGCGTCTGTTTGTCTAAGAAATCCCCAGCTGCTTCACTTGAGTAACACAGGGAGTAAACTTGTGTGAGTACTCAGGGTTTGAATGAATAATGCAGCTTTGTATAGCAGTTTAAAAGTGCAGTGATGTGCTGAGCAGACTGGTGGTTGTAAACTTTTTAACAGTGGACGCTCTCTTTGTGAAACAGACTTGGACTAGTTTCCAGATTGAAAGCGGCTCCCTAGGAGGATCAACTGTGTGTCCAGCAGAGAGGAAATGCCTGTGTAGTTGTCTGTTTGCTTTCTTTTTCCTCTCTCAGCCTTTTGTTTACAAAGGGCAGATGAGAAGAATCCCATTCGTCCACCCTGCTTGGCCCAGCTCTGCATTCACAGTCACCGGAAATGAAGTCTTTGTAAACGTTTCATTCACATCCAGAGTCCTGCGATGTTCAGATATTACAAAGGATTACTCTTTCCAGGCAGACTCAGCAGTTAGTGGTTGTGTTTTTGTAGGTAGGCCATGCTTTTATAGTGAACATTCTCCAGCTATCTCCATTTCACCTATTATTCCTCAGCTACACAACCTTTGATTTGTGAAACATGAGCATAGAGAGCACGAGGAACAGATCTCTCACAGATGGAATTGAAAGCATTTTAGTTCATGTGTAGTTTAAACTTTCTCATTTGTATTTTATTCTTGTGTACAGAACACAAACACAGTAATAATTAAATCAACACATATTACACAAATGTTATTTCAGAGTAAGCGGTTAGGCAAAGCAATTTTATTTATTTTATTACAGGGCAATTCAAAGTGCTTCAGAAAAGCATTTAGACATGAAAAACATGCTTGAAAAGGCCTTACACCAAATGTTTGTTTACCTTGCTCAATCGATTGTAATGTATTTGAACAGCTTTCCAAATAAAATGCACTGTAACTTTGCAGTGGTGAAACATTGTGAGTGCTTTCTTCATAACTACTTTGAAATATATAAAAACATCATCCTGAATTTTCACAAGGATCTTCTTTACTTTCCTCATAAATGTAAGAAACCTTCTAAAACAGGAGTGGGTTTTAGAAGTGGAACATACCTAGTTGTAGCATAGAAGGTAAACCAAATTAAATCTGTGCTTAGATTTGTCCGTTTAAGACATTTTTAACAACAAGAAACTGTTTTTTGTTAGTGACTGTTGCCCTGCACTACTTGAATGAGAAGCTCATGGATAAAATGACTGATTTAAGCTTCCTCATTTTGGCTGAGACACGACATCACACGGGATTCCTGGGAAATAAGCTTTGATCCCAGTCTTGATTTTATTTTATTGCATTACTACATGATCTCAGAAAGAGCTTAAAACGATAAGATACAAGTTCAACTAAGTTAATCTCAGATAATATATCAACTTTAATTCCCTTGTTTTTAGAGTGGACTAATAACAAGGTTGTTTTTTACACAGTTTATTCTACTGCACAGACCATTTGAAAAAAGCTTCAGGTCCATATTTCCCTTCGAGCCATTCATACTTTTCTCGAGCTTCCCCCCTCCGCCCTCTTTGGGCCTTTTTCCTTCTCTTCCTGTTTTATGACGGGAAAGAGGGGGAAGGGGAGACCAGCTTGGATGATTTAAAGTTGAATGAATGAATGACTAAATGTCTCCTTCTTTCCTCTCCTGTCAGGCGGAGGGAGATGTAGCCGGTCTGAACCGTAGGATCCAGCTGGTGGAGGAGGAACTGGACCGAGCCCAGGAGAGGCTGGCCACGGCGCTGCAGAAGCTGGAGGAGGCTGAGAAGGCCGCGGACGAGAGCGAGAGGTACATTAAAGGGGACCTATCATGCAAAATGCACTTCTTGATGTCTTTTATACATAAATATGTGTCCCCGGTGTGTCAGGGAACTCACAAAGTGTCAGAAAATAAAACCCTCTCTCTTTTCCTCCGTACCCAAATCTCTAAAAACGGGGGTACAACGGAGCTGATCCAGATTTGCTTCCGATATGACGTAATATCTGAAATGTGGACCCACGGCCCTATCAGAAACGTTGCTATCAGAAACAATGCGCGACTGTTTTGGACGTAATATGGTCTTTGTTTACATTAGCAAGCATCGCTAACAGTCAGAGCTAACCTGTACTGGAGAGAGCATGTGTAAAGTAGCAGGAAATAAAAAAAGGAACTCACTTTGTGGTAAACCCGCAAGAGAAAAAGCCTTTGAGCTCCATACTGTTTCAGAAATAATCCTTGATGTGGTTTGGAACTTGATGGCGTTTAATCACGGCAGCATTTAACTGTATCTGCCGGTAGAATTCTGAGCAGGCATTAGCTCCGCCTCCTCTTTTTTTCTTTTCAAGCTAAGGACCCAGATCAGGCATTCTCTAACAGGCCTGAAACAGAGGGATATGAGGGATTTCTAAAATGCATGATGTGTTTTGTATTTTGAGCAAAACACATCATAGACATGTTTTTTTATATATTTTTATATATCTGAGACCCATAATATATGCCTAAAAATAGCATGATAGGAGACCTTTAAAACGTTATAAAAACCTTATTTAACCGACATTTTCTTTAGATTGAAATGTTGTGTTTGTGTCTTTATGTGTGTGAGAACATGTGTTTTCACCTGGCTATCACAACGTCATTGAAAACCTTTTTTGTGTCTTGTCCAATCAGAGGGATGAAGGTTATTGAGAACCGAGCGGGTAAGGACGAGGAGAAGATGGAGATCCAGGAGATTCAGCTAAAGGAGGCCAAACACATCGCAGAGGAGGCCGACCGCAAATACGAGGAGGTGAGACTGACTTCCTGATTTCAGTCCTTATTTTTCACCTACTCTTATCTTTCGGATTATGTTAAGTCTAAAATGTTTAAATGTTTTTCTTCCCAGGTGGCCCGTAAGCTGGTGATCCTGGAGGGAGAGCTGGAGAGAGCCGAGGAGAGGGCCGAGCTCTCAGAATGGTAAAAAGCATAATCATAACTCGAAAACACACCCACGTCCTTACCATTACTTCCATTAACACTAAGCATGCGTCCGTCTCTCTCCACAGTAAAGCCGCTGACCTGGAGGAAGAGCTGAAAAATGTGACCAACAACCTGAAGTCCTTAGAAGCCCAGTCTGAGAAGGTGAGTGTTCCCTGTGAGGGATGAGCATGGCTACGACTGGACCCTGAAACTGAAATATATACAACTATAAGTAACACTTCTTCTTTTGGCTTCATGAGGGAACAGATCAGTTTTTGGGTGAAGCAAACCTAAATTATTTTAAGGAATGTTCAAGTTTCACATGTCAACCCTATGTAGAAGGTAGCTAAAAAGCCACATTCAAAACGAAGTGAGTGAATCCTGGCCTGAACAAATATCGTACATAGGCCTGATAGTTTCCAAATCTAGTCTGCTGTGCACTTTTAAAAGCTGCGTGGCAAATGATAGCATGAAAGCAGAGTCAAGTGTGTTTGTATGTGTGTTAGATCATAATGTTTTTATATTTTATAAAGTTATCTCAACTGTTTGCAATACTGTAAACACGCAAAAGCAAAGTTAAAGCAAACGCTAACATGTATTCATGCTCAAATTGCACAAATAAGCTTTGGTATTTCTCAGTTCTCTGCGACTCCAAGAATAACAAGTTTCAGTTCAACAAATACATAAGAATGCTGACTGTTTAATAAATACAATTAGTCGCTTTAGTTCTCCTTTATGAATGTACGGCCTAAATATATATATATAACAGCATTTACACTCTCCTCTTCGCTGCATCCTTCATTGAAGAAGCTGCTCTCAGGGCTCAGTGGACAGTCATTAAGGAAGCAGGGAGGGATACCTCTTCACCAAAGTATCGTTTCACACTTCCTCAATTATAACTGTGAATCATCCGGCCCTGCCTACAACGCAACTATTTATTTTCCCATCACGTTGTTTAGATGAAAAAACACTCAACGTATCAAGTGACAGACCTCAGCTGTTTGAACATCTGTTTGCACAATAACTTAGCAATAATTATTTGATATCATATGCACAGGGTTCCCACGGGACCATAAAAAGCATTAACATGAAATGAACTTATTCTTAAGAACCTCAATTGGTGTTGAAATGTTTCTAATAAATATTTCAAAAGTCTTAAAATGCTAAGACACAGGAAGGAGGATTTTATTGTTTTACCTGATTGTGCTTTGTAAAATCTTAAAAATAATTGGAAACATTATTTAAACAATTTACAAAATTGCTCTCACAATAAAGTGGCATTTAAAAAAAACGTTTAAATCGAACTTGCTTTAAGCTGTAGGAACCCTGCAGAACAATTTAACATCATCTTGGATTTGCTTTTTTAAATAACAATATATAAATACTTATCAAAGAAAATCACACAAGTAAAAAACAAACAACAATCCAAGACTCATTAGCGCAGCATGAGCCCCTGAGGCCGTTTCTTTGCATATTCAGGGAGTGAACCAGCAGCCAGTCGAGACCTGCAGCACATTCCTCCTGTGCGCTACGTTAAATTCCTCCCAGGCACGGACAGGCAGTGTGACAGCATGCCAGCCGCCTCATGACCGCTCTGCAGCAGCAACACACGCCAGCTGTGCTTTGTTCAGTCAGGCCTCCGTGCATCACATCGCATCGCATCGCAGCACAGGCTGTTCCCAGGCCAGCAACACCTCGATCTGATGATCCTCCGCCTCCCTCTCTACATATCTCTCCTCACAGGGAGTGGTGCCATAGCTGTTGCTGCAATTATGATTGTCTGTGTGTTTGTGTGTGTGTGTGTGTGTGTGTGTAGGGCAAAGCATGTGTTTGTGTTTCTGCCACTGATGTGTTTTTCTCTGTATGTCAACAGTACTCAGAAAAAGAAGACAAGTACGAGGAGGAGATCAAAGTCCTGACTGACAAACTGAAGGAGGTGAGATCCTGATTCTACTGATCACACTATATGATCATATACTGCATGATTTTAGACTGAAACCAATCACAAACGTGTGATGTTTTGAAAAAACACTGGGACAGGCATCAAAATTGTGAAGTTTCCTGCCCTTACAATATAACTGCAGTGTCTCTGGATTCAATCCGGCCAGGGAATTTGTTGCATATCACTTAGCTTATCTATTTGCCTCTGCTGGATACATCTCAAACAAGTGCAAATGCCATATACGCACATGCATCCAGGCAGCACACACAACCTCAAAAACACTTCATGCCAATGTGGGCACACAGAGTGAGATAGAAAGCAGCTGGATGCAGCTCAGAAGGCAAATATGACAGGACTATAACAAGTTTTCATTGCATACTTTAGATTATATTTTCCTAAATTGATAATGTAAGCCAGTCCTTATTCTTCTTCATCTCAATATCTGCATGCATTCAAATTGTAGTTCGTAAAACATGGCATCTATAAAGAAAACCTGTAGTCTTATTTGTTGAATTCACTGTGTAACATATTGTGTGTGTGTGTGTTTCCGTCAGGCTGAGACCCGTGCAGAGTTTGCAGAGAGGACAGTGGCTAAACTGGAAAAGTCCATTGATGATCTGGAAGGTATGAGATCAGCAGCACTCACGTGGTGTTGCAACCCTTTTGTTTGCACCAAAATATACATATTTTCAACACAACCTAAAGAAAAAGGCTATTATTTACTGGCTTTAAAAGAACAACCAGGAAACATTTGTTGATGAAACACAAGGGGGCAGTTTGTGAGTTTCCTGCAGGTCAGAGACTCTAATCCTCATCCATCTTAATGCACTATTACACTCAGTTTTACATAGACTTCAGAAGGAGTGTCCTACTTCAGCAACACTGGATATATGTCTGTGTAAACGAGTGCGCTCCCTGCTAAATATACTGCATGAAAACTCCTAGAGGACACAATGTGCTGAGGTGTTTTCAGGTCAGCATTATTTAGTTGTTAACCACAGGAAGCTGAGTTATTGGAGTGTTTGTGAGACATTCAGGGCGGTGTTAAATGCATAAAGCTCAACCCGGCTTAATGAGATCGGCATCATTCTTCCTTCTTTGCATTTCTGGATCTTTAAAAAGCCTGACCTGTTTTTTTTTGTGTCTTCTCCTTCCTCCCTCCGCCTCCCTCTGCCTCTCATTCTTTCTGCTTTTTGTGTCGCCGCTGTCCCTGACACCTTCCTGTCGACCTCCAGATGAATTGTACGCTCAAAAGCTGAAGTACAAGGCCATTAGTGAGGAGCTGGACCATGCCCTCAATGACATGACGTCTCTGTAGATGCTCTGACTCTCTCGCTGCCTCTCAATTCCCTTTCTCTGCTGAGTGCTTCAAACTCATCCTCTCTCTCTGATCGTACTGTACGTGCCTTCATCCCATCTCAGTACGCAGGAAATGATTCATTAAAAACATGTTTCTTTCCTACTTTCTTTTGTCTCTCTATTCTTGTTTATTCATGCAAGCTTTCATCTTAGTAGAATGTTTGAATCATAACTTAAAGAGGCGTGTTATGCTAATGTTCGTGTTTCATATTTGTATTTTGTGTCTCTACATGTCTCCGTGCTTTAATGTTCAAAAAGCTCTTTATGTGTCTCATACTGCCTGTGCTGCAGCACCTCTTTTCACCCTCTGTCTGAAACCAGAGCCCAGTCTGCTCTGATTGGTTAGCTGGCCCGGGTCTGTTGTGATCGGTCAACCTCTTAGAGATGTCCCGCACCTTAGCCTATCATTTACTATGTGTTGGAGCGCTAGCCAATAGAAGCGAGTGTTACATAGTGATGCTATTATTATATTACGGAAGTAAACAAAGGAGTCCAATGGATGTGTTTAAGGCACGGGGGGGGGGGGGGGGGAGTGTGTGAGACAGAAAACGTAGCCTTTCCAGATCCTTTAAATGCACTAAAACCTATATAACACACTACAGGAAAGGGAAAACCCAAACAACATAATAGGGCCCCTTTAAGCCACACACACACCTTGTGGTTAACGTACATTTTACGTCTAATTGTCAGCGAGTTTATGTGAGACAAGGTGAGATTTACTGTTATTTGTGTGAATGAATGCAGTTTGCAATCCCCTTAAACCCTTAAAAACACTCTTTTGGTTTTATGTCACCTTTTTTTGATGGTTTCTGATAGTATAAATTCACGTGAGGCCATAACGTATGTACTGACATCACACGGTAGCATTTTGGTACAACGAATATAGCTCACAAATCCTCTAAACTGTAATGTACTAACAGAGAATGACAGTCAGCAGTTTAAGCATGAAGAGCACAGTGATGTGGTTGAGGATTTTTGCATGTGGCACAACTTTAATCTAAAAGTTATGCAAAACATCTGTTCAGTAAAACTGTGCATGGAATGCTGTTTGACAGAATGAAAGCAGCAGTGTTGCGTTCTGATGTTTGAGGTCTCACCGTGTCTCTTTTCCTCTTGTTCTCCAGATAAACTATCACGAGCCAAAGAGGAGAATCTTGGCATGCACCAAGTCCTGGATCAGACCCTGCAGGAACTGAACAGCTTATAAACACACAGAGAGGAAGCTGGAGAGGATGAGATCGTCACGTAACATTCCTTTAATGTTCGACTCCATTCCACATTTCGAGCTGTAAAATCTCTATTCCCCGTGTGAAGGGGGATTAACTTAATGCTTGTCCCTTGATGTTTTTTTTCTTTTCTAAGATCTATCTAAGATGGGAAGTCATTTTGACCCCTTTGCTTATTTTTCAGTTTCTTTTTTATCTCCACTTGTGATTGCAGAAATTGTCCCCCAGAATTTTTTTTTTGACCACTTTATTTAGAAACACCTGGCAATTTCAGATTTGGTCACTCAACCACTTAACCTGGCTCGATTTTACATGTTTACGTGCACATACATTAAGCCTCTGTCTGATTATTGTAACGCATGTGCTCAGATGGTGTTGGGTTTCGCTCCGGCTACATTAGCTTGGCTCTGAAGTGCCACCTAGTGGTGATGGGAAGTTACACAGCAGTTTTTTTTTTTTAAATCAAGCTGTACCAGAAGCTACACACACTCGGCTTAAGGGTGCTTGTCTTATTCTCATGAATCTGAGTTCAACAGTATGAAATGGAAAGCTTTCATTGATTGATAAATTGGTCAAGGTACATGCTCAGTCACTCTCAACTTCTTTACATGTCATTAATGCAAACCTCTAATCATCCTGAGGCCGTCATGTTGCAGACGCATTTTATTTATGTGCATCAAATGTTTTATACCCTATTTTTAGTGTGGGAATCTGCAGAAGCTGAGAGCTGTGCATGTACATTATCAATCGGTGAAGCTGTACTATCTTAACCTGACATGACACTCTTCTTCATTGCCAACTATATGCCATAATGTAGCCACTATTTACATTATATTGATCTACATGAGCGAGCTGAAGCCCAAACCACTGGAAGCTCACATCAAGTCTTATCAACCATGGATACTTATTGTATATAGTAGAATAATGTTAGGTATTTGAGAAATTGTATTGCTCTGATTCTTTTCTTTTTTGGTTTTGTTTCATTTACACCACTTCTTATTTTTGTGCCAGGGAAACTCTCAAGACCAAAGAACACACACACATAACAGACAATAAATAAATTCTTAAAATGTTTTACTTTATTTGTGTTTGTTTGTGATGGACGTCATGGTTTCATCTCATGCCAGGGCCATGAAAAGCGCATCACACGTGACCGAGGCCATTTTGAATTATTTTATTCACCAACCCTCCCCCCCCCCCAATCTATGTCAACCTAATAAATGTTTTACAGAAATCATGACTCATGGACTTCTTGTGCATTTTGAAGATTTTATCTTTTCTTTGAAAGTATTACAAAAATACTAGTCATTAAGTGCTTCATCATATCAATCTGATATATATATAATTCAGTTAAACAAATGGAATCTCTGCATGTATATGATTTAGTTCATCCCTCTCTGTTCAATGCAACCCCACAGGGGGGATAACATGTCCCTCCCATTGACTTTACATTGTAGGTCCCTCCACCTTATAGCGATACCGATTCTCTACTTAAGATTTAACACACTTGTTTTGGAGTGCAAGGCTTAGACGCATTTCTTCATGCTCCATTCTTCCCTTCTGCTTCCTTTCATGGATGTTTTGCACATTTCTGCTCAGGTGTATTTCTTTCTGAAGGCACAACCTAAATGAAAACAGATAAAAAAAACATTTGAATATATCTCATCACAGGCAAAACATTAAAGTATAAAATGGAATACCTATCTCTTTTTATTTTGTTCAAACTCTATTTCATATACAGCATATATTTTTTGGGGAAAATTTACATAATTTTGCAATTAAAGTTTTTCTGTAATGTATAAACCAACCAGTGGCGGCCGGTCCATAGGGGCGCTAGGGGCGCCGCCCCACCTCTTCCCATATTGAAAAAAATAAAAATAAATAATAATTAAAATTAAAATAAAAAAAAAAAATATGTTTAAAAAAATATATATGTTTTTATTTTTATTTTTAATGAACAAGGTAAATATTATATAATTGGTATCAGTAAAATGTATAATCTACAATAAAATCTCGTTTAAAATTGTGTTACGATGTCTAAAGTTACTGATAAATCACATGTTTCCTGCCTGGCCTTGCCCATGCACCTTCTCTCGTCTGGGCGCTAAGAGAGGAGCCTTCAACCAGTGCAGCAGCAGCCACCAGCAGCTGACTGTTGCTATCTGTAACGTGTAAACTATGCCGCGAAAATATAATTTCAGCCAATCAGCGTCGTCAAAGATGACGGTCACCGGGCGCCAATGTCAGCGCCCAGTGCAGTCTGTGAGTAGTTTGGACAGTGACTCGTATCCGGTTGACGCAGTAGTTGATGAGGATGGCTTCGTGTGCAGGTGGAGTCTCCGGACCTCGGTCCGCGCCTAATTCTGTTCAAGAGCTAATCTCCAATCCTTTCGAAAGGAGAAGTTTGGCAGATAAATTGTTGCTTAAAGACCTTGCACCGGACCAACCCGATTTGAATATATCGCAGCAATCTCGTGAAAAAGACAACATTTATACACGAGGCTTCACAAGTAGCTGGTACACAAGAAAGGCTTGGCTAGCTGGATGCAAACAGGTAAATGCTGTCTTTTGTTTCCCATGCTTGGATATCACTTTATATGTAGAGAGGAGGTTTCCCATGGTTGTTAGAAGTTTATTAATAAGTGGGCATTTATCACAGAAGTGATTGTTCTGTCTCCACGTTTGTTGCATTGTCTGTGATGTATTTTCCAACGGTTATAGCTCCTGTTCTGTCCCAGCAACACTACACGGTTTGCAGCTCCACCACATTTTTGGTTTATCTTCGGTGTCGCTTAAAATCTGCTTCCCATCGGACTAAAACCTCCACGTAATCTGAAGACAGATACTTGAAGTTATTTAAACCTTTTGCAAACTTTATGTTCTTTCTTGCTCTAGCCTTGCCAGTTACATTGTACATAACACATATATTATCATTATGCTAACTGGTTGTTCGTGTTAGACGATGTAGCTTTTTCATTTCTGAGTTATTGCTATATGTAAATAAGCCTGTTTGTAAATAATCCTCAGAGAAACAAAGAAAAAACACAATTTATGACATTTTGTGCTGTGGTTATTTTTTTTAAATTGCATTTATTCACAGTTCAGTTTGAAATGCTGTAGTGACTTGTATTGAACCACTTAAATATTTATAATTAATGCTACTGAAAAGATGCTATTAATTTTATATCTCACATGCAGTTCACTGTAAAGCTACTTGGTGAAGGTGTTTTAAGAAAGAAAAAAACAGACCAGTTCTGAGAACACAAATTCCTGGTAAAGTAGTAGATGTTCAGGTTGATAAATAATATTTTCCACACTGAAGATTATGGAGGTATTGATCAGTCTTCTCATATTTTTAAGCCTCGATTTCTCCTTTCCCCCCCCCTCTAACATCACCAGAAGTCATCATTTAAGGGGTCATTTCTCGGACCCCCCGGGTAGGTCACTTACGGTACGTCAAGAGCCCCACCAAAAAAAAAGACCACCGGCCGCCACTGAAACCAACAGATAAAGAACAAATTTAACTTAATTTATTTCCCCAAGCTCCACCTTTAGAAATTATTTAGCTAATTGGAGGGTTATTAATTGTATACATTTCACTCACTCACTCATTATACTTAATATTTTTGTTTACTATTTAAGTTAATTTATCAATTTCTAAGACTTCCTATATTGTTGCCTCCCGTCTGATGGACTTATGGGTTTGTGATCTTTATCATACATCTACTCAAAGGTTCAAAGGGCTTTACTGTCTCATGCACAGCTACAGTATGCAATAAAAAACGTAATTGACAGGCTCCTACAACGATGCAACATAAGTATATTCAAGACAATAAAAAATAAAAAAAGTGCAAGCTCAGGAGTTAAGCAGTCTTATGGCTTGTGGGATAAAACTCTGGTGGTCTTTGTAACCACTCACACACCTGCTTAAATATCTATGTTTTACCTTCTGTTAGTCTGCATTTCCCCCCTGCTGGTTGGCAGAGGATTAAAGAGCAGCCCCCACATGGCACCACTGTCTGAGCGTGGCTGAAGATGGTGGTGATCTTGTAGCAGCCTGGGGAGTAGAGACAATAAGATACTTAATCATACACATACTGAACCTAAAATCAGAGAGGAACATATCTACAGCGTGTTGCAGTCCTCACCTGCGCATTTAACATCCATGAAGTAGGAGTTTGGACTCTGCACCAGCCTCTTCTTCTTGTGTCTGCTCCTCTCCTTGGCCAGACTGGGGTGGAACAGATCGCTATCCTGCAACCGAAGTCAGAGGGGTTTAGATGTCTAGTTTACATGTTTTTAACGCTATTGTAAATCAAATGTGTGTTATTTTTTCATCGAACGACGAGGCGATGATAGTTTGTTAGATGTTTTGATGACACCGTAATGCCCCCTACAGTCTGGTAAATGAAGTAAAACTAAAAGCAAGTGCATAAACATGTCTGGGCAAGTCCATATCGTTTCTGGGAATCTACATGTATGCATGAAATTATTTAAATATACATTTCAAACACATATTTACGCCTTACACCACATGCATTGACATAACTAATGGATATTTCTCATAGTTTTTACATAAAATGTGTTGCTTATCAATTGATAACAGACTATTTGAGAAGCTTTCTGTTAATCAAAGCTGTTATGCAAGCCCTAAAGTTTATATCCAGAAAATAAAAAATCACTTACAGACATTTTTGCTCCAAACACGTTTTCGTCCAATGCAAATACGAGAGATAAAGTGATATTTGAAGTGCGGCTCTCTGTCTCAAAGCAGCTGGAGTTTGTTGTTGTTCTGCAGGTTTAAAGTGGCTCTGTGACCGGAAGACACCGAGCAGGCGGGCGGGGTCTCTCTTTAGGGGAGGCGCGTCAGATTATACTGGGTGCACTGGTCCAAGTTTACATAATTATTTTATAACTAGTTTTGTAAACAGTACAATTAAAAAGTCAATGATTCAATTAAATGTGGTCTCTCTAGAGCTTTTTTACAGTAAAGGAAATACCATTTTTCAAAATAGACTTTGAGACTCCACATTATATTCAATACCTGTTTTATATTGATTGATCATTTCCCCCTTAATTTACGAAATAAAAACTTCATGATTTTCTGTTTTGAGATGGTGCAAATATTGAATATATAATAACTTAATTGGACTGTAGCAGGGTGTAAAAAATAGGATACGTTTACGTGTTTTACCCAAACCTTAAATATATTTAATATTTTTCTGTATTTTATACAAACATTAAGGGTCCCCTGTATGTTGTGTTTCTGCAAAACCCCGGTGTTCCTCGATATAGTGTAGGCCTACAGAACCTGATAAGATACAAATAGTTGAATAAAAGACTCAATAGATAAATTAATTTGCCATCAACTGTACCAATAATATGAATAATAAAACAAATATTGGCATTAATTAATCAAATTAATTTGTATCTTAATTTATCTTTGTATTATTTACCAAATAATCTACTATGATTTAAAATATATTGATAATCATCTTTTTTAATCTGTATTTTAAGTGTATTTTTCATTTATTTTCCCCTTTATTTAACATTATGTAATCAATTTATGTATTTTTTTTGTTTGGAAGGTTCCGTCCTCCATAGGCTAGAACTATTTTGTCAAAAGACTGATTAACAAATCTTGGTACTCGGGTGACCCAAGACATCAAAACGAACGAACCCAGCGGTTTACCAGCGGACTTCCGGAGCCACGACGACAGAGCGGAGTGACAGTTGATTTATCCAAAAGGACAGCTCACTTAGTTGTGACGTTTATTTTTCTCACGACGGGCGGGATATCCGCAGTAGTAAACTAGCTAATAACATGGCGAAGACTTACGATTACTTGTTTAAACTACTTTTAATCGGCGATTCAGGCGTCGGAAAGACCTGTGTGTTATTCAGATTTTCAGAAGATGCCTTCAACTCTACGTTTATCTCTACTATAGGTGAGTAAAAGTGGTTTTATTAAGACTGTCTTTGCTGAAAAAGTACAGGAGCAGCCCATCCCGTCATGCTAATTTCTTGCTAACTTTTTAGCATTCGTTGTAGAGGCTAGTCAGGAAGCCGGCTTGTTGGAGGGGCTTTTCAGGAAACGACAACTGTATTTCAACCAGTTTATACACTTATAAATCCCGTGTATGTATAAGCAGTAAGGCTGTTAATCTAATGAAAGCTATTACAGTATTTTAAACTTACTATTTTAAGCTAAACTACCTAGCTACAAAGGCTGTCAGTGAGCTAGCTAGCAGTGTCACTTTTCATCAAAACCCCAGAAAGTGCGCCGGCCGTTGATGCAGATTTTTTAAAGAATGGCCAAACGGGGGTACTACAACTCCCGTGTCGTCTTTCGACCCAAAAATACTTTCCCAGTTTCCCCCATTGACTTACATTGGGAAATAGATTTCTGTAAATCGGCGTATAATAAATAATATAATCATTAGGGTCTTAAAGTTGGAAAATTAGCTAAAGCCGGAGGCGGGACTTAAGAAAAACTCAAGTGCGCATGCTCGGTGGGCAAAAGGCCCCGGATGAGTCGCTTCGTTTTGAGCTTCATGCGCCACTGAGCAACTCATAGGAATGAACGGGGCCCCGCCTCCAACACTGTATCCTCTTTACATATCTATGCTTTTCATATGACCAGCTGCCTGTACTTCGCACTGTGGTAGCCAATGTTACAGAAAACAGTAATGAAGCTTCTAAAATCAATCATTAATGTGACTGTCATTGGGATTTTATGTGTAATTTCTGCCCCAGATGTGCCTTGTTTTTGAGAATCAGAATATCTTTATTGTGATCATACAGAGGATGAAGGACATTTCGTTGGCATATCTCAATGCATTAATAGAAATAGAAACAAATAAATAAAAGCAGAGGTAGTAGCAATGACAATGCAAAGAAAGCACTAAGATAAAATAATGTCAGTGAACATATTAACCAATTTTACAGACTAACATTTCAATATAAAAAGCTAGAAAAGTTCAAACATAATTGTGGTTACAGTCTTTGAGGGCTGGAGTCTGGAGAAGTGTTTCATGTATGTCAAAGTTGTCGTAATGTGTTCTGTGGTTGGACAGAGATGGGAGTAATTAATCAAATGTAATTATATGTATTTTGTTTTTTTCTTTAGGTATTGATTTCAAGATCAGAACAATAGAATTAGATGGCAAGAAGATCAAGCTACAGATATGGTAAGATATCACCATCCACTTTCACTTTACTGTTTGACTTGTATGTGATGATTAAGGGTGGATTGTAATTACACTAAGATGACAATTTATTAGGTACATCTCATGAGAAGATTAACATCTGCATTACGGATGCTTCCAATACAACAGTAGCTTGTAATATATTCACTCTTTACAAGACTGGAATCTTGTAAAACGTTTAACCTAGTGTTGTCGTCTCTCAAGCGAACATACAGTATACACTCTATGTATTTGTGTCTTTTAAAGTTGTAATAGGTAAAAGAAAATAGGTTTGAAGGTAGTAGTATTGAATCTATATCATGACTAACAGCAGCTGTGCATGAGGCATCTCACACATTCTGTCGTTATTGTCCTCAAATACAACGGCACACAACACTTTAAATAAGACAGTTATGGAGTTGATTATGTATTTTATTAAGAACTTTTCACAGAGTTAGGCTATTACCCCTTTGTTTTATCAATGAACAGATGAAATGTAGCTAAGTTTTGGAGACTAAGTGTTGTTTTTGATATGTAGGGATACAGCAGGACAAGAGCGGTTCAGGACCATCACGACAGCCTACTACAGAGGAGCCATGGTAAGTTGCTTTGTCTTTTAACCAATCGCACCATAGTGTTTTATTTTTGGGATCAGAATAGGTGAAGTGTCAGTAATCTCAGGTGTCAGCTCTGTACCAACAACCTCTACCCGAACTACACCCAGCATTGTTGGTATTGTTGTTAATGTTGTACACACCTGGGTAATCTGAGGTGCGCTCAGTGTATTGTTTTATGCTATTTTTCTTAGCCTCTCCTTTAGTTCAAGTTTAACTGGTTGCCTGTGATTCTATATTTCACTTAAAGGTCCCATGTCATGGCCATTTCTACGGATCATAATTCCCTTGTTGAGGTCTACTAGAATAGATTTATATTGTTCAATGTTCCAAACTCACATTGGTTTCTCATACAGCATCTCTGTATAGTATGTGTATTCACTCTCTGTCCTAAACGGCTTGTTGGAGCTCCTGCCCCCCCCCTCTCCCTATGAGCCCAGTGTGCTCTGATTGGTCAGCTCGCCCACTCTGTTCTGATGAATCCACCACCGTTACAGCGGAACATCAGTGATTATGTGTTACAATGGCGTTTGTTAGCAACCAGAAAATGACACCAGTAATGACAAACAGATGAGAATGCTGCGTGGGGTCTGGGTGCCGTGTTGGTGGGACGTTGCGCGGCTCGCTGCTGCGCCCTTTGAGCGGACAGTGATTACTGGTGTAGTTTCCTGGTTGCTGCGTTGGGTCTGCGAGACAGCAAGACAGCGAGACAGCAAGACTCAGGCTGAGTTTCGCGATGTCTCACTCTCTCAGGCTGAGTTCAGGCTGAGAAATCCGCGGAGCAGCGGCTGAGAAAAGATAAGGCTGAGTGAGTGTGTGTGTGTGTGAGGAGCTCCACGGATTGGTCCATTTGGACCTGGGTATCGTTACGTCACTATACTCAGGAAGAAAACAATGGAAAAAGAGAAATCTCCAACGAGGCGTTCTGGGGCAGCATAGACAGGTATTTTCTGTGTTAGAGTTTTACTCGCTACAGGGTGTACTTTGAGGGTTTGTGACTCTGCAGACCGTTTACATGCAGAAAAACCTTCATAACACACAAGGGGACGGGTAATAACAGGAAAAGCATGACATGGGACCTTTAAGTAAACTGTATTGCCTTTGGTTTTAAATAGGGTAAAATATAATTTAAAAAATAGTTTTGCAAGTTGTAAATGTGTTGTCTTTATTGAAGTATGTAGATGCTGTGGTTGTTAAGTAAATTAAGCCAAATACGTTTTGTATTGTCAGCTCTAGTTAATTAATGCTTGATAATATAGATATTTCCCATTATTGACCCCAGATATATGATGCATCCCTAGTGTTGAAGTATGTGATCCTTCACTAATGAGGGTTAAATGAACAATGGATAATCACATTAGACAATACATTCCCAAGTGGTTAATAACTAATAATTGGTTAATGATTTAATCGTTTTCTGGCTTCTCAAATGTGTCTTTTCCTTTCCTCTCCAGGGCATCATGTTAGTGTATGACATAACCAATGAGAAGTCCTTTGAAAACATCAAGAACTGGATACGGAATATCGAAGAGGTAAACATGAAAATGACGTCCGTCTGTTCAGTGTGCGCGTTAGAGTGTGTCTTATTTTGACAATGTTTCTCTAAAAAGAGTGTATACATCTGGAAGTGTATTTAGAAGAATGGTGACCTGTTGTAAGGTATGTTGTAAGTGAATATATTGTAAGCCTCTAATTAGACTATATTTTTTATATTTCTTATGCTTTTGATGATAATTGCTATTGTATATTGACTTTTTGATTATATTATATACAGAGTTCCCGTTAGAATATTCTTTTGCCGGTCAACATGTCCGTTAAAGTTTAAATCTTCCGGACAAAATGAGAAAAGTGCCGGTCAAAGGTCTTCTTTGTTATTTATTGAGCTTTAAAACAAATTGATATGATTCGATATTAAACAAACTAATTATAGTGGATTAACTACATTATTCAAAAGTGTACAGTAACTTATAATAACACGGGAATAATAAACGGAGAGCTCTCTCCTTCTCCTGACAGCCCGTCAGTATCATGCAGCTCGCGGATCCAGTAATGAGTGACTCTACAGTAAAACTAAACATATCTATAACTAGTTTAGGTAGTTTGAGAGGTAATTAAAATAGCTACGTGTGATTTTCTAACCTGAAGTGTGTGTGTTGCTCCGCTCACCACTGCAGGGGATCATGCAGAGCTGCGTGTCGACTTGTCAGCAGCAGCTGATCTCTCTCTCCCGTCAGATTAGACTTCACTCGCGTTTATGTCCATATCGATCAGATCTAGCTAGTTCTAGCTAATGATATGACTACCTGCTTATCAAGACACCTAAACAATAAGCGTCGCTATGCAACCGGGTGAGGCCACAAAGTATAGCGCAGCATTATGCATTTGTTTACATGCCCACCGGAACCCCGAGGCATTACCAACAGATCAACGCACAATCAACCCATACAGGACATCTCTTTCTCCACATTAAGTGTTAGACATTAGAATGGACTATTCTTGTCTGTCACATACTATTCTTGTCTGTCACATAAGTGGCGCAACTGATGCGGTATTGCGCTAAGGGGAAATGATTTTGACCGGAGAGATTTAGATTTGACGGTCTTCAGCATATTTTACCGGTCATAGTCCGGTAATTACCGGCTAACGGGAACTCTGGTTATATATATATTTCGATATAACAGTATGATATTGTATATGTACCATGTTGTGTGAGACTCACTGTCAAGGAACTTGTTCTAATCAATGTAAAAAAAAGTGTATAAATCTAATGCATTCTATAATTGATTACATTTCTCTTAGTTCACTATGCAAATTTATGTTTCCCAGCATGCTTCAGCCGATGTGGAGAGGATGGTCCTTGGGAACAAATGTGACTGTAACGACAAGCGACAGGTGTCCAAAGACCGAGGGGAGAAGGTGGGCGATAACACACGACTGTACCTAGAACTAGATTTAATAAGAATAATTGATATTGATCTATTATACTGACTGTGATTGTTCTTCTTCTCTCCTGCTGTCAGCTGGCGCTCGAGTACGGTATCAAGTTCATGGAGACGAGCGCAAAGGCGAACATCAACGTGGAGAATGTGAGTTCAAGCTTTTTCTGCGGTTATTCATTCACAGCTGGAAGTATCTTTACTAAGAGATGAGTTATGATACTTTGGTCCTCGTTGTCTGTGTGTTTGAAAAGACTCTTGTCACAGAGTTTAAGAAATGGACTGCACATAATCGTCAGGTATGAAGTGCATTAAGACTGAGTGATAAAGACAGTACTGTATATTGGTTTTCTTTGTGATACATGGCGATACAATATATATATATTTCTGTATTGTTTATGTAGTGGGCTTTGATTTGATTTAGAATATGTAAAACAATAATACAAAAATATTGACATGAGAATGATTATACAATACAAAATGAATCAGTGTCAAATTAATATATACAAAAATATGACTGATTCTAAATTATGTATAAACTAATTATCTACTTAATTACACATCCGAATCCCACCCCTTCTCCCAATAGCTTAATGTGAGATGCACTTTTATTAGAACAGATGCATCATGACAAAGTTAAGCTACTTCTCTACTCTAGTACTGGTTTAATTCAACAATATAATCATTCTATTTTCATCAATTTGCAGTTCTTGATTAATCCTATGTAGGGATACTAACTAATGTTACTTTGTTAAACAGTCCAGACCTGTTTCCAGACCGATAAGACTACTAAACATGCTCACAGATTGGATTGTTGGTTTCGGGAAGCTGCAAACAAATTTAGAACCAGGCAAATGCTCGTAATGTATGCAAAAGGCTTGAAAACAGCCCAAAAAAACAATGTTAATCTTAGGGATGGGTACCGAGCCCCGTATTAAAGGGGCCCCGGGGCTGAATTATTAAAGACTGTGGTACCACGGCTCCAACGTTATCGGTCTTTTTATCGGTACTGGAGACATCTAAAAAAATATGTCATATCTGTATTATTGCTACACAAACATTATATTGCAGTTTTAGTGTCGCCAACTCCGTTTCTAATACGCAAAAAGACTGCAAAATGCGATTATTTTGAGTATTTTCGATCTTTCCAATCCAGATGAGAGATCTCTCTCTCCCCCGTCTGTGTGCGAGGGGGCGGGGCAGTTTACACACACGCGGCTGCTACATGCAGCAACACACACACACACGGATGAGATGGCAGAGAGAACGCGCTCCAAGGTGTGGTTAAACTTTACCCGTCTCGGTGTGGACATGCTCGTTGCCAAAAGTGCAAGTCTAGCATGTAAGGGCGGTAACACGAGCAATTTGTCTAAACATTTAGCAAAAGTGCACCACATCCAGACGGAGAAATGCACCGGGTTCGACTGTCTTTCTAGTAGCTCTGTAGCCCCATCCACGAGTAACGTTTCCACGTCAGGTGTTATGTATGCTAGCAGCAACACACGGAGCTAACTCAATTTATACAAACATGGGTTAATGATTAGAGGGAACTGAGTTATTTAGTTTGTTAAAGTTTCAGCTATTCTGTTTACAGTTCTGTCATCACATTATTTAATACGATTTGTTAAAACATTGTTGTTTCTTTTGATGTGAAATATTATGTGTTTAATTTAAATAAAAAGCAATGTTAGTTTTGTTCACAATTTGTTTAATTAGTTTACCTCATTTTTTTCTCCAAAAGAACCGATAAGAGTACCTTTAAACACAAACCGTAATATACTACCACTTCATTTCTTCTACTCAACACCTCACAGCTACATGTATAACGTATCAAGAGGAAAATATACATGTTTTGTGCCTTGAGAAAAAGAAACCACTTGTGTACTGAGGAAGTGGATCAGCTGATGAATAACAGAGGCAGCAGGAAACACTTCACTGACTCTCTGGTGTAACAGCCAGCGACTCTGTGACAGATGTTTGCATATAAAGAGCTGAAAGACAGAAAGTAGACCACAAAAGCAGAACAAAGTAGAACGTCTTAATACCCTTTCGTATAGGAAAATGTATTACTTTGTGACATTTATGTTTTTTTTTAGGATGCCCATTAGCTGAACTATAATCAGATTATCAGCCACTTGTAACACAATGAAAAGGATCAAATTAAATGACAGGCTTAATTAGATTAGAACCACAGTGTTCAAAATAATCCACCCAGAGAACCACCGTTTAATATGCTTTGATTCAATTTCAATAATTACATTTGTTTTGATCTGCTTTTGTCCGCAGGCCTTCTTAACCCTCGCCAGAGACATCAAAGCAAAAATGGACAAGAAGCTGGTAAGACAATGGAAACTTTTTAATAAAACTATTACAGTGTGACTTTTCTTTTGCTGTTCTGATATGTAGCGGCTAAATCAAAGAAATAAAACGGAACATCTTACTCAAAATAAAACTGCCGCTTGGCCACCAATAAGCGAATCTTACGTAGGAAAAATGTTCAAGGCAAGAATATACTTATTATGCGCTGATCCCACCACCACCACCTGTCTCCAATATGTGACCCGCTCTATCGAAATCAGTCGGAAGTCGCAACAGCTCATTTCAAAATAAATATGGATTTGCGTAAAAAAATAGTTTTTCGGGGTTCTGGTGTTTTGTTTGATTTTAAATAAACAAAGTCTTGGCTTTCAGAATATGAAACTTTTATTTCCAAAATCACACGATAAATACATTTTTGAAGCTTGTAAAGGGAAGAAGACACCTCTCACTCACACCCTGCTCTTCCTCAGCGCCGCTCCCCCTCCCTCCCGCTGACATTATGAATGTAAGGCGTATAGTAATCATAGATAACACGGCAGGGTCTGTTACAGTTTGTTTTCATCTGATTTCAAATAAACAAAGTCTTGGCTTTCAGAATATTAAACTTGTTTCGGCAAATTCAGATGATAAATACAACTTTGAAGCTTCGGCATAATTACAAGCGGAGAACGGAGTAATTTGTCACAGCAGGCATAACAACAGCTAATAATCAATCAGATCTGGATTCCAGAGAAGAGATGACTCAGTGATAGTCATTATATAATGTGACATATTTTGCTTAATATTTGGAGTACAACAACAATCCTGATATCATTAGAAAGCTAGGAATCTCCTCTTTCCAACAGTGTATACAACTCAAAATGTGTCTTCGGGTCAATGCGACGGAGCAGGTCACATATAGTCTATACTAGTTGCTTGTGAACCTGGAAATGTTGAGTACCCCAAAGTTTTATGTTGGTAATGTATAGTACGGGTCCATAGCACATAGAAACTGCCAGATGCCAACTTTCATATGTTGGGCAATTTGCACAATTAGCATAAGTTGCGTATGTATCATAAATAGCATTAAATGAGTAGTTAAACAATGGCCTGGCTGAATTGGACTATTTGAGGGATTTTTAGGGGTTATTGAGGATGCTGAATGCATTCTGACTTTTTCAGGATCCAAAAATGGTTTTAACCATTTTTCTAACTATTCACAGCTGGCAGTTTTGTAACCAAGACATGAGATATGATACTTTGGGCCTCGTTGTCTGTGTGTTTAAAAAGACACTTGTCATAGAGTTTAAGAAATTGACTGCACAGAGGGATTACATGACATAATTGTCAGGTACGAATAGGGTTGCAAAATTCCGGGAATTTTCAAAGATGGAAACTTTCCATGGGAATAAACGGGAATTTTCTAAATTGAAGGTTGGCTCTTCATAGGGAGATTAAATATAGTTGGGGAAAGTATATTTTAGCATAATCTTGACTAAAACAAACATGCCATTCAAGTACACTTGAATATCCATGCCATTCCTCCATCACATGCACATAGCACACTGCTTACTGCATGGCTATTGAGACCACACCCCCTACAGGCACTGTGCATTCCTCCATCACATGCACATAGCACACTGCTTACTGCATGGCTATTGAGACCACACCCCCTACAGGTACTGTGCATTCCTCCATCACATGCACATAGCACACTGCTTACTGCATGGCTATTGAGACCACACCCCCTACAGGCACTGTGCATTCCTCCATCACATGCACATAGCACACTGCTTACTGCATGGCTATTGAGACCACACCCCCTACAGGTACTGTGCATTCCTCCATCACATGCACAGATGATTTCTAGAAGTAATATTTAACTCAACATTCATGTTTTTGTTCTTCAATGAAACAAATGATTGTTCAATAAAATAATTAAAACTTGTTCTGTTCTACTTACAAATAAATCTATTGAAATGTCATGTTTTTTAATTGTATCATTTTGCATGGATGTTTTCTTATGACAAAACAAATTTTTTATATTTATGCTTGGATATGATACAATTAGATTACATTACCCTAAATTCCCATTAATTCCCATGGGAAGTTTCCAATATGGAATATTTCCAAAATTCCCCAGCTTAACTTCCCATGGAAACTTACAAAGTTTAAAAAATAGCCTGGCTGATTTGTACAATTTTGGAGTGATTTTTGGGGGTTATTGAGGATGCTGAATGCATTTTGACATTTTCAGGACCCAACTTAGCAGTTTCAACCAATTTGTAACTATTGTTTGCATATGTTATGATACAATTGAATGCTAATTAACCCAACTAATGCTAATTGTGTAAATTGCCCAACATATGCAAGTTAGCATCCGGCAGTTTCTATGTGCTGTGTACCTGTACTTTACATTTTTAACATAAAACTTTGGGGTACTCAACATTTCCGGGTTCATAATGGAACTCTTTGAGATGAAAACTAGGCAAAAATATAATAATCACCAGGTGCCCAACACTGCCTTAAAAATAAAAGCAAATTATTGCAATAAATAATGATTAATTCAATATAAACAAAAACAGACAGAAAATGAATGGTTTCTTACTAAATAGAATAATTGAATGTATAGCTCCAACATCCTATTTAAAGGTCACCTATTATGCAAAATCCTCTTCTTCATGTCTCTTCTACATCAACATGTGTCCCCTCTGTGTAAAGAGATTCTGAAAGTTTCAGGAAAAAAGATTCTCTCTCTTTTTGTCCTGATCCATTTCTATAAAAACCTGTCTGAAAATGAGCTGATCAGATTTTGGCCACTTTATGATGTCATAACGATGTGTTGGCTTGTGTAACCATTAGCCAATCACCAACCAAGGTAACCCCCCCCCCACCTTATCACCTGAATCTCCTCCTAGAGCACCATTGTGTTCTTTTGAACCAAATATATCTCAGAGGGGCGTGGGGAGGGGCTCCTTATTTTCATCTAAAGTAACAGACAGAGAATCAGCACTTTTGAAACAGGGCTGAAACAGAGGGGATTATGGGATGCTGCAATGATCTGTTTGGTGTTTCAGCCAAACACTTCAGAGACAGGTTTTGTATATATCTGAGACTTGTAATATATTGATGATAAACAGTATAATAGCGGTCCTTTAACTGTGCTCTCTCCTCTGTCTGGCTCTCAGGAGGGAAACAACCCGCAGGGCAGCAGTCAGGGAGTGAAGATCACAGAACAGCCGAAGAAGAACAGCTTCTTCCGCTGCTCGCTGCTGTGAGGAGACGAGAGTCGGCATCCACCATCGCCTTAACGGAGTCCCACTGGACACAACTGGACAGAGCACACTCGCCTCTTACCTTCCTTCACTTCGTCTTCCTCTCTTCTCTCCATATTAGGAAAAACAAAAGTGTATCGCTCCCTTGACAACTGTGAATCTAACTCCTGTGGCCTCCATTAGTAAATCTGTGTCTCTTTTTGTACGGTTGCTAATTAGATTCATACATCTTGAGATTTTATTGCCTTTTTTCAAGACTTCTTGTGAGACGATCAAACCACTTTACTGCTCATGATAATGTCTCCTCCTCTCTCGTTGAAGTCTTATTTATTCGATCCTTATCACTTAAAGTAGCCCAGATTATACCTCCAGAAAAGACTTACTATTCCACATGGGCTTCCTTATTCTGAATATAATCATCTGTCAAATATATATAGTGATCCAAGGTGATGAGAGTCCACATTGTGGGTGGGTGGCCTCTTTGGTATATCAACATTAGGTAAACATGTAAATATATATCATTGATTATGAAATCAGTCGTGCCATCACATCATCATATCTACTTGGATCACCTTTTTCTACTTTCCGTTGAATTTTCATAGGTCGATACATTCCTCTTGTGAACACTTTAATGTGCAATGTGTGTGTGTGTGTGTGTGTGTGTGTGTGTGTGTGTGTGTGTGTGTGTGTGTGTGTGTGTGTGTGTGTGTGTGTGTGTGTGTGTGTGTGTGTGTGTGTGTGTGTGTGTGTGTGTGTTGTGTGTGTGTGTGTGTGTGTGTGTGTGTGTGTAGTGTGTGTGTGTGTGTGTGTGTGTGTGTGTGTGTGTGTGTGTGTGTGTGTGTGTGTGTGTGTGTGTGTGTGTGTGTGTGTGTGTGTGTGTGTGTGTGTGTGTGTGTGTGTGTGGAGCCCTTTTCTTAAGCCTTTCTCTAAGTATTCATGTGGTTGCAGTAAGACCGGCTTGTTTTAAGGGCTCGCAGATTCCTTGTTTATTGCCTCATCATTTTAGGTATTCTATGAGATAGGAGGTAGATCATTTTGATGCACTTCAACTGACAGAGCAATACCTAACTCTGACAGCAGGAGGCGACACAGTTACACAGGAGTCTCAGCGATGATTACATCTTCATACTTCCTGTTTTGGGGGCGGCGTGCACACAAACTGTTCTCTGGGCTCTGTAGCAGTATTTATGGAGTGAAACAAAACATAGCACCAAAATGACAAAGTGCCCTTTTATGTTCTTATTGATTATTATGCACTTTTTCCTTTTTGTTCTTTCTGTAAAAAAAAAAAGAAGTTCTTAACAATTTTGCTGCGTATCTTAAAGAGGCCCTATTGTGCTTTTCGGGGGTTCCCATTTCCTGTAATGTGTCATATAGGCTTTTGTGCATGAAAATGGTCTTCAGAGGCTAAAATCCCAAAGTTCCCCCCAGAGGAAGTTTCTCTCCCACATCTTCGTTTACTTCCTGAACACAGTGACGTCACTATGTAACACTTGTGCTTCAATTGGCTAGTGCTCCGACACATTGTATATGATTGGCTAAGGGGCGGGACATCTCTAGTCAGCTAACCAATCAGAGCAGACTGGGCTCTGGTTTCAGACAGAGGGTGAAAACAGGCAGGCAGGCAGTATGGGAAATTTAAAGAGCTTTTTGAACATTAAACCATGGAGACATGTCAGTAGAGACACTCGATACTAATATGAAACTAATATGAAAATGAGCAGAATATGGCCCCTTTGACTGAAAGCAAAACATATTCATGCACACTGTCTGGGATTCCCTAAAAACATTTGAGCACTTAAACCAATTTTTCTGAGTTAGTAATGAAAATACACCGAAGGCCTTTCATTTAGACATGTTTTTTTTCTCTTATTACAACAAATCTATGAATTGTTATTTCACTTTTCCCAGCTTTTTATGCATTTCCACACCCATTGATGCTCTTGGAAGCTTCCACGACTCACCCCTCTCTTCTTACTCTCTCTTATTCCCTCCCCCTTCCTCCTTTATCCAGATTTCAGACATCTTGTTTTGGCGCGGTTTCACGGCCGTGTGAACTATGCATTCTGGGTGCGTAGAAAACATCAAAAAAGCGTTGCACATTTGACTCGAGCTTTATTTGAGATTGGACCCTTTGCTCTTTTACTTTCTGCCGTCACTTTGCTCGTTTTGAGCTTTTCAGAAGAAGGATTAGGAAATTATTTCAAAGCTGACATAAAAATCACGTCTGACATTTTACAGTTTGAGCAAATTAAGTTGTTGAACTGATGTTGTAACTGCGTAGGTGGATTTAAATCGTTGCTGTTAACATGGTTTTGGCAAAATGTCTGGCTCTCGCAGATGAAGTCGATTTGATGAAGTTGCAGGTTTCTGCTTTATTCTGTGAAATGTATTTCGAGTCATTTGTTATTTTCACCAAGTATACATTTGCCACTTCTATGTTAACATATCTTCAGCATTCCCCGACTTAATTTGGATTTCATCGCTGATTATTGATGGTTTTCATGGGGAACAAATGTAATAATTCAGCAGTTGTAAATAAGATCTACAATGGTTGTACTGAAGGTTCATAAGTCTTATTGATCTACACATTTTGTAGATATGTGTTTTGATGATTTATTAAAAATGAGATTCTTACAAAAAACTTGTTTACTCGACTTATTATGTTTGTACCTTTTTTATTTTTGGAAATGTATTTAAACAATCAAATAATCAGTGTTCATATCGGTGCTGGATGTCCTCAAAAGTATATTTCAAAGTGGTTACTTAAAGGTCCCATGTCATGCTTTTCCAGTTATTACCCCTCCCCTTGTGTGTTATGAAGGTTTTTCTGCATGTAAACGGTCTGCAGAGTTACAAACCCTCAAAGTACACCCTGTAGCGAGTAAAACTAACACAGAAAAGACCTGTCTATGCTGCCCCAGAACGCCTCGTTGGACATTTCTCATTTTCCATTGTTTTCTTCCTGGGTTCTGTGACGTGTGAATACCCAAATCAACAACAAATGACCGGATTGGCCCAAATGGACCAATCCGCGGAGCACCTCTGTGAAGCTGACCGTTGAGCGGCCCGACCAAGCAAGGAGGCAGAGGCAGAACGTCCAAAATACAACCCGGTGTGGGCATTTATTACTCATAAACATATGACACAGCCTCAATCTGCTGTTCACATGAGCACAGTCACCAGCCACAAGGATCTCACACCACACTACCAGCACCCCAAACAGATAGGGAAACAGAGCGTTTGTTATCACCAAAAATGTGTTCCGTGAAAGTAAAGCAAGTTCATAATTAGATAGACATCGTGAGGTATTTATTTTCGGTACAGTTTATGTTGAAACCGTTAGAGAGAGTTGCACACATGTTAGCCTGTTCCATTCTTCTTCGTTTTCCGAAGCCGTGGCTCCGAGCATCTTGCGGGACAAAGACGCCCGCAGACTTGAGAGCGAGGCGCGGCGAGGCAGCGCAGTTTCTCTCCACGAGCTGCAGAAGCGAAATGCTTGATGGGAAACGACCAAGCCCCCAGGAAGTGCGCCGGACTCTGATGAAAATATTCGTGCTGGCCAAACGGCGGTACTACACTTCCTTTTGGTTGCCAGGCCCGGAAACATTTTTTCCCATTGACTTACATGGGGAAAGAGTGGTCTGTAAATCGTTGGATATTTTTTTTTAAACTAAATAAACTACCCAGTATGAACACTTGTATAGCCCTTATTAAAAACATTCGTTCCTCAAGTTGTAAAATGTGCTAATAACGTTATTCTGAGAGTTATTTCCCTCTGCATTATGAACGCGCATCTAACCCACGGGACCGCGCCGCCCGGCACGTTCATGTTACGTGTTCAGCACTACATGAGTTTATCTTTACCCATGGATGCACTATAAGAACGGACCCATATCGCCTTACTGCCAGCCCACGGAGCTGTAATAATGGATATATTGCACATGTTTGCTGTAATTCATCATTTGTAAAATATTATACTACATGGGCTGTATGATTAAATCTTGTACCGTAAATGTTGTATTAAATAAAGTTAATATTACCGACATAGATTAACGTCCCTGTAGCTTCTTATTGCACTAAGAAGCTTATTGCACTGTGTATATATATATATATATATATATATATATATATATATATATATATATATATATATATATATATACAGTGCAATAATTCTTTCATGCTGTACCCAATATACAAGCTGTTAATAAACTTTTCAATCAATGCTAAATGAAGCTCTGTTGCTTGGATATCACTAGATCCTGTTACAGCGTAATATAAAAGTACATAACGATTGATGTGTAAATTAGCATAATTACTAGCTAACCGCTAGCTGCTAACTGCCGCCTCGTTAATATCAAATCTATCATAACAAACATTACCATGCTGTCATGAACGTGCGGTGTTGTTACGTGTACGCAAATTGACGTGCTTGATGTGAACGAGCATTTTGGGGGGCATGGTTAAAGTTGCGCATGCGCTATGAGCGCACATACGGGTACTTCTCAGGCATGCCGGGTAATCTGTGACGTTTCGCTCTCTCAAAAGTTGGGCCATTTTATCATCATGCGCGAATGAGCAACTCTCATAGGAATGAATGAGGCCCCGCCTCCCACGCTGTATCCAGTTCTTATTATACATCCATGGAAACGACTCGCTGGCATCTCGAGCTGAGCGCTCATTGGTGGTTTTTACCCCGTGCTGCTGATGAAACTCTCCAATTGGCTCGGCAAAAGTTTGTTGTTGTTTTGTGTCAGTTTTACGTCGCCACTTCCATTCACATTTTTCATCATTGTTCCACAATGTTTATCATCATGAAATTAATATCTATATATTTTATACTATACTTGCACTGCTTACCGTTTTCATACTTTATATATCTTAGCATATGCATACACATTGTTCATACTGCTCACAAGCTGCTGCTGTGTATATCTAGTGCATTCATACCCCTCACTGTTTATTCATCATTCAATTCATTCTATATTTTATTCTGTAGATTGTGTACATTACTTTTCACTTTACTGCTTTTTGCACTCCTGGTTAGAAGCTAAACTACATTTCGTTGTCTCAGTACCTGTAATATGTGCAATAACAATAAAGTTGAATCTAATCTTGAGCAGGAACAAATGTATTTACTTAGTACATATCTGACATTAACGATTAAACACATCTGTGCATTCTTTATCAATGCAAACCGAGTCAAGCCGACTCCGGAGGTGGCGGTATGCACCTTAAAGTTGTTTGCAATCCGCCAAAAAACCGAGAGATGAAGAAGAAGAAGAAGAAGAAGAAGAAGAAGAAGAAGAAGAAGAAGAAGAAGCCGACTCCGAGCTGTCCCAAGCTGTCCGACTTCAGGCGAGCTTTTTGAGACCTCCCCCGGCTGCGATCGGCTATTCTCGTCTACTTTCGAGGCGAGCCGCAGCTCGTCTCAAACAAGCCTATTAACATGGCGAAGACTTACGATGACTTGTTTCAACTACTTTTAATCGGCGATTCATGCGTCGGAAAGACCTGTGTGCTATTCAGATTTTCAGAAGATGCCTTCTCCTCTTCGTTAATCTGTACTATAGGTGAGTAAAAGTGGTTTTAATAAGACTGTTTTTGCTGAAAAAGTACAGGAACAGCCAGAGGCGGTTTTAGAACATTTTACATGGGGTGGCAAAGGGGGGGCAAGAGGTCATGCCAGGGTGGCATGGGAGGGCGGACCGTACGTGGTATTTTATACTGTATATATAACCTATTTATTGTTAAATCATGCCCTAACACAAGTGTTCTTAATGCCCAAGAGAAACAAGGTGTTCAGACAAACAAACTAAAATATATTATAAAACAGCAGAAAATACTCATGATGCCCTAGAACTCTGTTTACTGTAAGTACAGTAAAAGTACTTAGTTATAATTAAGTACACAAATTACATCACCCATCTCTTAGAGCAGGGGTTCCCAACCCCCGGTCCGCGGACCTGTACCGGGCCGCAGAGGTGTTACTGCCGGGCCGCGAAATAGCTGTGAGTTTATCGTAATATTTGCAGAATTATAAATATATAAAAATATTTTATCATAATATTTTTTCAAAAAGTGTTTAATTTTCGCACCTATGCCACCAGTCATATTATTTCATCCAGTAGCTAGTTAATCTTTCACCAGAAAACCGTTGAAAATGGCTTTTATGATGAGGGATTCGGCGGCTCAGCCTTATAAGGTCTCCTCTCGTGCGCACGAGCATGTTACCGGTGCGCCAAGTAGGAAGAGGAGCGCACAGGAGACAACCGTTTGATTGCAGACTGTTATGTTTATGTGGGGAAATGGTGGTGCATACATTATTTGAGATATATTTCAAACTCGGACTTCATTTTAAGGACATGTCGGCCAGGGGTGTAGAGCTATTTGTTTAAGCACCGGATTGGCAAAACAGAAGAGTAAACCAGTCTGCCTTGATCTATGAATTAATGTCCGGGACTCTCGGACCCGCAGCTGCCCGCAGCTGCTTTATAGACGGAAACCCTCCTTCACTTCTTAAAACGGCTGCAGCATCCGGAGGCAGCGGCACGTATACTCCGCTTCTGAGAAGTGCAGCACCAGTATGACTGTGTTTAACTTCATCAGAACAGTTTAAGAGTGACTGCAGGCTGCTACGTGTTAACCACACACACCTATACACACACATCTACACACATCGAACTGCCCGATTACTCCCCCTTTTATTAGTTTTATGAAGGAGATGTCCAGTCAGTCACCAAGGCGCATGATGTGTGTGTGTATGTGCTCTGCTCAGCTCAGCTCTGTGTGTTCGGTGTGTTTGTGTCTGTCCGACACCGGCATTTGTTTTCAAATGTTTATGAACAGTAATTTACACACATATGGCTAACTCCATATATGCGGCTGTTCCCAAAATAAATTAGTTTAATCTTAATCTCGATGTAGTGCTAATGCTGTCGGAGTGCACCGGAACGAACGACACTATCATAATATCTTCTGAAAACAAATGCCAGTGTTCATAATGCGGCTTCTCCTCGTTTTCCCAGCATTCACTGGATTATCCGTAAATCATACAAACAAAACCAAAACGTTAATTTATCTGTTTTCCCGTTTTGGTTTAAAAACTGAATAACGTCGGTTTTTTGGTTTTCCGAAAAACCAAAAAATGACACCGGTTCTTTTTTAAACTTTGTTAATATGTTTTGGATGCATATTGTTCTAGTATCTGTTCAGGCTGTTACATACAATTAGCCTCTGTTGCTACCTGCTGGTGGTGAGTAAATATTAAAATCAGTTAAAATTGACAACCGGTCCGCGATTTTTTTTTAATGTATCTGCCGGTCCTTGGCACAATAAAGGTTGGGAACCCCTGTCTTAGAGAGCTAAAGGTGACCTGTGCAGCAACACATTTCAATAAATATTTGTCAATACTAAGAGCTACTAGATTGTGCTGCTGTAATGGAATATGTATACAAGGACAATACAAACATACCATGTTGTCCAGCTGGAGTTTCATCTGCCTCCTGATCCCTGCCTCTGTCCCTCTTTCTGACACTTCATCTTTATTCCTCACATAGGCTACATTTCTTCTTCTTCTTCACTACTGTCTTCATCTCCTCCTGGCTTTCTCCTGCTCTGATCCTCCTGGTCTCTTCAGTGTGCTGTCTTTTCCTTTTCCTCTTTCTACTCGTCCTGATCGCTTCTCAGATATGTCTTTTTATTTTTGTTGAATCACTCCAGCTACTCTGTCCTGCAAGAGTCTACTTGTGAAAAGCACTGGTACAAATGCTTACAACTTTACACGTTAGGGCCATGTAGCTGATAAGTAGCATAGCCAATACTAAATATAAAATCAGAAAGTATTTATCAAACGCACACAGGCAGCTGCGTTTAGATCCAGTTTGACGGTAAAGGATGTATGCTGGTTTAATTTAGCTGGCCTCATTGCTGTGATGTATAATATACGTGGATTTAATAGTACCGCATAGTTTAGCAAATAAAGTGATCGATCTCCCAGCTAGCGCTGTCTGCGTAGTATTTTGTAACGAAAGGTCCCAAACAGCGACCGTCTGTTAAACGCTATCGATTCAAACGGCAGCGGTTTATTAATATTTTGTTTCAAACTCTCGTCCTTAAAAACAAAACTAGTCGAAGGGGAAATGCTCCCAGGGGAAGCTGATCCACCCTCAGGTGCTGGGACAGCTCGCTCCCTCTCTGCAGCGGTGTGAGCCGCGGTCTGTGTGAACGCCGCTCCGCAGTTTAATGCAGGGCCGTAGCTACGTCTTTAACGGGCCTAAGATGATATTTAAAATTATTCACTTTTAATTAATGTAGGCCTACTGCTTGTTTAGTTGATTGAGAAGCTTTTAGACAAAGTGTAGGTTTGTTTCTACAAGTACAGTTTTAGGGACACAAAAGTTAGGGGGGCAGCTGGGGGGGCAAGGCTCTACAGTGGGGTGGCAGCTGCCCCCCCTTGCCCCCCCCCCCCCCGTAGATCCGCCCCTGGGAGCAGCCCATCCCGTCATGCTAATTTCTTGCTAACTTTTTAGCATTCATTGTAGAGGCTAGTCAGGAAGCCGGCTTGTTGGAGGGGCTTTTCAGGAAACGACAACTGTATTTCAACCAGTTTATATACTTACAAATCCCGTGCATGTATAAGCAGTAAGGCTGTTAACCTAATGAAAGCTATTACAGTGTTTTAAACTTACTATTTTAAGCTAAACTACCTAGCTACAAAGCTGTCAGTGAGCTAGCTAGCAGTGTCACTTTTCATCAAAACCCCAGGAAGTGCGCCGGCCGTTGATGTAGATTTTTTAAAGAATGGCCAAACGGGGGTACGACAACTCCCGTGTCGTCTTTCGACCCAAAAATACTTTCCCAGTTTCCCCCATTGACTTACATTGGGAAATAGATTTCTGTAAATCGGCGTATAATAAATAATATAATCATTAGGGTCTTAAAGTTGGAAAATGAGCTAAAGCCGAAGGCGGGACTTAAGAAAAACTCAAGTGCGCATGCTCGGTGGGCAAAAGGCCCCGGATGAGTCGCTTCATTTTGAGCTTCGTGCGCCACTGAGCAACTCTCATAGGAATGAATGGGACCCCGCCTCCAACACTGTATCCTCTTTACATATCCATGCTTTTCATATGACCAACTGCCTGTACTTCGCACTGTGGTAGCCAATGTTACAGAAAACAGTAATGAAGCTTCTAAAATCAATCATTAATGTAACTGTCATTGGGATTTTATGTGTAATTTCTGCCCCAGATGTGCCTTGTTTTTGAGAATCAGAATATCTTTATTGTGATCATACAGAGGATGAAGGACATTTCGTTGGCATCTCTCAATGCATTAATAGAAATAGAAACAAATAAATAAAAGCAGAGGTAGTAGCAATGACAATGCAAAGAAAGCACTAAGATGAAATAATGTCAGTGAACATATTAACCAATTTTACAGACTATAACATTTCAATATAAAAAGCTAGAAAAGTTTAAACATAATTGTGGTTACAGTCTTTGAGGGCTGGAGATGTGTTTCATGTATGTCAAAGTTGTCGTAATGTGTTCTGTGGTTGGACAGGGATGGGAGTAATTCATAAAATGTAATTATATGTATTTTGTTTTTTCGTTTAGGTATTGATTTCAAGATCAGAACAATAGAATTAGATGGCAAGAAGATCAAGCTACATATATGGTAAGATATCACCATCCACTTTCACTTTACAGTTTGACTTGTATGTGATGATTAAGGGTGGATTGTAATTACACTAAGATGACAATTGATTAGGTACATCTCATGAGAAGATGAACATCTGCATTACGGATGCTTCCAATACAACAGTAGCTTGTAATATATTCACTCTTTACAAGACTGGAATCTTGTAAAACGTTTAACCTAGTGTTGTCAACTCTTAAGTCTCTCAAGTGAACATACAGTATACACTCTATGTATTTGTGTCTTTAAAGTTGTAATAGGTAAAAGAAAATAGGTTTAAAGGTAGTAGTATTGAATCTATATCATGACTAACAGCAGCTGTGCATGAGGCATCTCACATATTCTGTCGTTATTGTCCTCAAATACAACAGCACACAACACTTTAAATAAGACAGTTATGGAGTTGATTATGTATTTTATTAAGAACTTTTCACAGAGTTAGGCTATTACCCCTTTGTTTTCTCAATGAACAGATGAAATGTAGCTAAGTTTTGCAGACTGTTGTTTTTGATATGTAGGGATACAGCAGGACTCGAGCGGTTCAGGACCATCACGACAGCCTACTACAGAGGAGCCATGGTAAGTTGCTTTGTCTTTTAACCAATCGCACCATAGTGTTTTATTTTTGGGATCAGAATAGGTGAAGTGTCAGTAATCTCAGGTGTCAGCTCTGTACCAACAACCTCTACCCGAACTACACCCAGCATTGTTGGTATTGTTGTTAATGTTGTACACACCTGGGTAATCTGAGGTGCGCTCAGTGTATTGTTTTATGCTATTTTTCTTAGCCTCTCCTTTAGTTCAAGTTTAACTGGTTGCCTGTGATTCCATATTTCACTTAAAGGTCCCATGTCATGGCCATTTCTACGGATCATAATTCCATTGTTGAGGTCTACTAGAATAGATTTATATTGTTCAATGTTCCAAACTCACATTGGTTTTCTCATACAGCATCTCTGTATAGTATGTGTATTCACTCTCTGTCCTAAACGGCTTGTTGGAGCTCCTGCCCCCCCCCCCTCCCTATGAGCCCACTGTGCTCTGATTGGTCAGCTCGCCCACTCTGTTCTGATGAATCCACCACCGTTACAGCGGAACATCAGTGATTATGTGTTACAATAGCGTTAGCAGCCAGAAAATGACACCAGTAATGACAAACAGATGAGAATGCTGCGTGGGGTCTGGGTGCCGTGTTGGCGGGACGTTGCAGGGCTCACTGCTGTGAGGAGGGGACAGTGTGAGCTCTATTACGGGTGTCGTTTCCTGGTTGCTGCGTGGGGTCTGCGAGACAGCAAGACTCAGGCTGAGTTTCGCTATGTCTCACTCTCTCAGGCTGAGTTCAGGCTGAGAAATCCGCGGAGCAGCGGCTGAGAAAAGATAAGGCTGAGTGAGTGTGAGTGTGTGTGTGTGTGAGGAGCTCCACGGATTGGTCCATTTGGACCTGGGTATCGTTACGTCACTATACTCAGGAAGAAAACAATGGAAAAAGAGAAATCTCCAACGAGGCGTTCTGGGGCAGCATAGACAGGTATTTTCTGTGTTAGAGTTTTACTCGCTACAGGGTGTACTTTGAGGGTTTGTGACTCTGCAGACCGTTTACATGCAGAAAAACCTTCATAACACACAAGGGGACGGGTAATAACCGGAAAAGCATGACATGGGACCTTTAAGTAAACTGTATTGCCTTTGGTTTTAAATAGGGTAAAATATAATTTAAAAAATAGTTTTGCAAGTTGTAAATGTGTTGTCTTTATTGAAGTATGTAGATGCTGTGGTTGTTAAGTAAATTAAGCCAAATACGTTTTGTATTGTCGGCTCTAGTTAATACTATCATTTCTTTATCGAAATTAATGCCTGATAATATAGATATTTCCCATTATTGACCCCAGATATATGATGCATCCCTAGTGTTGAAGTATGTGATCCTTCACTAATGAGGGTTAAATGAACAACGGATAACCACATTAGACAATACATTCCCAAGTGGACTAATGACAATAATTGGTCAAGGATATCATTGTTTTCTGGCTTCTCAATTGTGTCTTGTCTTTTCCATATTTCACTTAAGTAAACAGTATTGCCTTTGGTTCTAAATAGGGTCAAATGTATTTTTTTAATTGTTTTGCATGTTGTAAATGTGTTTTCTTTATTGAAGTATGTACATGCTGTAGTCGTTAAGTAAATTAAACCAAATACGTTGTGTATTATCGGCTCTACTTATCGTTAATAATTTCATTATCGAAATGTACTGTACGATACCAGTCACCTCTGTGGAAACATTGGTATAACTGCCTTTTTAAATTTATATTTGAATGTTGTATGTCTTCTAAAAATGGACCTTGAGTCTCTTCAATAAAGCTGATATTTGTACCATTATTGACCCCATATATATCATGCCTCCCTAGTGTTGGAGTACCATGCTTTTACTTGGCCCTCGACAGTCATGTGATCCTTCACTAATGAGGGTTAAATGAACAATGGATAATCACATTAGACAATACATTCCCAAGTGGTTAATAACTAATAATTGGTTAATGATTTAATCGTTTTCTGGCTTCTCAAATGTGTCTTTTCCTTTCCTCTCCAGGGCATCATGTTAGTGTATGACATAACCAATGAGAAGTCCTTTGAAAACATCAAGAACTGGATACGGAATATCGAAGAGGTAAACATGAAAGTGACGTCCGTCTGTTAGTGTGTCTTATGTTGACAATGTTTCTCTAAAAAGAGTGTATACATCTGGAAGTGTATTTAGAAGAATGGTGACCTGTTGTAAGGTATGTTGTAAGTGAATATATTGTAAGCCTCTAATTAGACTATATATTTTATATTTCTTATGCTTTTGATGATAATTGCTATTGTATATTGTTCTTTTTGATTATATTATATACAGAGTTCCCGTTAGAATATTCTTTTGCCGGTCAACATGTCCGTTAAAGTTTAAATCTTCCGGACAAAATGAGAAAAGTGCCGGTCAAAGGTCTTCTTTGTTATTTATTGAGCTTTAAAACAAATTGATATGATTCGATATTAAACAAACTAATTATAGTGGATTAACTACATTATTCAAAAGTGTACAGTAACTTACAATAACACGGGAATAATAAACGGAGAGCTCTCTCCTTCTCCTGACAGCCCGTCAGTATCATGCAGCTCGCGGATCCAGTAATGAGTGACTCTACAATAAAACTAAACATATCTATAACTAGTTTAGGTAGTTTGAGAGGTAATTAAAATAGCTACGTGTGATTTTCTAACCTGAAGTGTGTGTGTTGCTCCGCTCACCACTGCAGGGGATCATGCAGAGCTGCGTGTCGACTCGTCAGCAGCAGCTGATCTCTCTATCCCGTCAGATTAGACTTCACTCGCGTTTATGTCCATATCGATCAGATCTAGCTAGTTCTAGCTAATGATATGACTACCTGCTTATCAAGACACCTAAACAATAAGCGTCGCTATGCAACCGGGTGAGGCCACAAAGTATAGCGCAGCATTATGCATTTGTTTACATGCCCACCGGAACCCCGAGGCATTACCAACAGATCAACGCACAATCAACCCATACAGGACACTCTTTCTCCACATTAAGTGTTAGACATTAGAATGGACTATTCTTGTCTGTCACATACTATTCTTGTCTGTCACATAAGTGGCGCAACTGATGCGGTATTGCGCTAAGGGGAAATTATTTTGACCGGAGAGATTTAGATTTGACGGTCTTCAGCATATATTACCGGTCATAGTCCGGTAATTACCGGCTAACGGGAACTCTGATTATATATATATTTGTATATAACAGTATGATATTGTATTATGTACCATGTTGTGTGAGACTCACTGTCAAGGAACTTGTTCTAATCAATGTAAAAAATAAAAATAAGAGTGTATAAATCTAATGCATTCTATAATTTATAACATTTCTCTTAGTTCACTATGCAAATTTATGTTTCCCAGCATGCTTCAGCCGATGTGGAGAGGATGGTCCTTGGGAACAAATGTGACGTCAACGACAAGCGACAGGTGTCCAAAGACCGAGGGGAGAAGGTGGGCGATAACACACGACTGTACCTAGAACTAGATTTAATAAGAATAAGAATAATTAACATTTTATGATCTATTATACTGACTGTGATTGTTCTTCTTCTCTCCTGCTGTCAGCTGGCGCTCGAGTACGGTATCAAGTTCATGGAGACGAGCGCAAAGGAGAACATCAACGTGGAGAATGTGAGTTCAAGCTTTTTCTGCGGTTATTCATTCACAGCTGGAAGTATCTTAACTAAGAGATGAGTTATGATACTTTGGTCCTCGTTGTCTGTGTGTTTGAAAAGACTCTTGTCACAGAGTTTAAGAAATTGACTGCACATAATCGTCAGGTATGAAGTGCATTAAGACTGAGTGATAAAGACAGTACTGTATATTGGTTTTCTTTGTGATACATGGCGATACAATATATATATATATATATATTTCTGTATTTTTTATGTAGTGGGCTTTGATTTGATTTGATTTGATTTAGAATATGTAAAACAATAATACAAAAATATTTACATGAGAATTATTATACAATACAAAATGAATCAGTGTCAAATTAATATATACAAAAATATGACTGATTCTAAATTATGTATAAACTAATTATCTACTTAATTACACATCCGAAAAGGGGTGGCAAGAAGTTTACACTTATTTAATCCCACCCTTTCTCCCAATAGCTTAATGTGAGATGCACTTTTATTAGAACAGATGCATCATGACAAAGTTAAGCTACTTCTCTACTCTAGTACTGGTTTAATTCAACAATATAATCATTCTATTTTCATCAATTTGCAGTTCTTGATTAATCCTATGTAGGGATACTAACTAATGTGACTTTGTTAAACAGTCCAGACCTGTTTCCAGACCTATAAGACTAGTCAACATGCTCACACATTGGATTGTTGGTTTCGGGAAGCTGCAAACAAATTTAGAACCAGACAAATGCTCGTAATGTATGCAAAAGACTCGAAAACAGCCAAAAAAAACAATGTTAATCTATAACGTTGACAGTGAAACTTCAACATTTGTTAGCGATTAGCCCGTTGGACACAAAACGTAATATACTACCACTTCATTTCTTCTACTCAACACATAACAACTACATGTATAACATATCAAGAGGAGAATATACATGTTGTGTGCCTTGAGAAAAAGAAACACTGTACTGAGGAAGTGGTTCACCTGATGAATAACAGAGGCAGCTGGAAACACTTCACTGACTCTCTGGTGTAACAGCCAGCGACTCTGTGACAGATGTTTGCATATAAAGAGCTGAAAGACAGAAAGTAGACCACAAAAGCAGAACAAAGTAGAACGTCTTAATACCCTTTCGTATAGGAAAATGTATTACTTTGTGACATTTATGTTTTTTTTTTAGGATGCCCATTAGCTGAACTATAATCAGATTATCAGACACTTGTAACACAATGAAAAGGATCAAATTAAATTACAGGCTTAATTAGATTAGAACCACAGTGTTCAAAATAATCCACCCAGAGAACCACCGTTTAATATGCTTTGATTCAATTTCAATAATTACATTTGTTTTGATCTGCTTTTGTCCGCAGGCCTTCTTAACCCTCGCCAGAGACATCAAAGTGAAAATGGACAAGAAGCTGGTAAGACAATGGAAACTTTTTAATAAAACTATTGCAGTGTGACTTTTCTTTTGCTGTTCTGATATGTAGCGTTCCCTTGTGGCCTTTCCTATGTTTTCCTTTGTAAAAAAACAAACATACATCTGTGCTTATGCAAGTTGCCAGCTTGTGAGCCCGGAAATGTTGAGTACGGAAATGTTGAGTACGGAAATGTTGAGTACGGAAATGTTGAGTACTCCTAAGTTTTATGATAGAAAGGTATATTACGGGTCCCCAGCACATATGCCCCTTTCACACCAACGCGGTTCCCGTTCTAGCTCCGTGCTAGAGCTTTTCTGGTTCGGAACCGGTTTTTCTTTTCAGCCCCCGTTTTGTTCACACCGCCCAGAGCCCGACTGGTGCTGCCGCTGCTGCGTCATGACGTCACCGTTTACGTCGCTGATTTTCTCCCCGTCGGTTCGATGATCGTGTTGCTTTTAATCATACGAAGCCAGATTAAATTAAATAACTACTTCTCAACCCTTGTACTTTTCTCCAGAGTGCAGTGGTTCATTGTTTATTAATGTGTTTCAGCGGCATTTACCGACCGCTGCAGTGCTGCCCGCTGTTTGGCATCACAACGCTGTTATGAAAGTTTCTCTGGTATAAAATGGGTGATGTTAGCATAGCAACCGTAGCTAAACTGACTACTTGTTGTTGCTATCCTATTGTGGCATAAGCCGTTTTCTACAGGCACATTTTACCGGCGTATTTTTCATTATGATTCTACTTGTGATAGTCGGACATATCAACATCAACAACTGCACCTCGTCCACTGCTCCTCTGTCCCAAGGCGTCCCCCAGGGTTCGGTGCTTGGCCCTCTCCTCTTCATCCTCTACATCAGGGGTACACTTTTTTATTAAAGGTCCAGTTGTGAACTTTATACAAGGTCACTGGTCCGGATCAATGCCAGTAAAGTAAAGTGTGTGTCCCCCCCCCCCCCCCCCCCCCCCCAGAGCGGAGAACCGAAACTGAAATTGAGAAGCAGTTTCTTGGTGCTCTTTGCATGGGCCCCCTTGGTTAAATTAAAGGGTGTTTCATGTTGTCGTTGCTGTGGACCTTCTTAATCTACCTTCTTTGGGGGCCCCCTTCTGGTCCAAGCACTTGCCTCACTTGCCTGCCTTGCCTGCCTTGCCTGTCGGTAAACGGCGCCCCTGTATACACACACACACACACATTCAATACATACATACAGTATGGTGGCTTGAACTAGTGGGAGAAATGGCACTGTTTGTCTGTAGTCAATGCCTTGAACCTCGGCAAAAAAGGCATTAGAAGCATTAGAAAGTCAAGGTAAACTTGCGGTGAACTTGCGGTCTGCTATGCGTGTCACGCTCGCGCACACAAGTAAATATATATGCACGTTCATTCTCACAACGCGTCAGACACAAGACGCGCGTACATGATGATGTACATTAATTTATCAGAATCAGAATTCTTTTTTTTTTTTTATAATCTTTTTTTTTTTTATAATGGGACACAGGGTTCGGTCCGGATTGATTTGTAGTTCGGTCCGGATCCGGACCTTGGTCCGGAGTTTGAGAAGCCCTGCTCTACATGCTCCCCCTTGGCAAAATAATTCGTCGCCACAACCTTCAATTTCACTGCTACGCCGATGACATCCAACTTTATATCTCAACAAAAACCATCACCCCCACAACACACTCCACTCTCACCAACTGTCTCTCACAAATAAAAGCATGGATGCAAACAAACTATCTCCAACTGAACAGTGCCAAATCAGACATCATCATCATCGGCCCCCCATCCCGTACCAAAGAATTTCAACTTCACCATTGACAGCCACACTCTATCCCCCCCCCCTCACATCCGCAACCTCGGAGTCATCTTCGACAGTCAGCTCAAATTCAATCACCACATCAATCACATCACCAGGACCGCCTTTTTCCACCTCAAAAACATTGCCCGTCTCCGCCCATCACTCTCCTCCTCTGCTGCTGAAACTCTGATTCATGCATTCATCACATCACGACTCGACTACTGCAATAGCATCCTCTACGGCAGGGGTCGGCAACAGGCGGACCGCGGTCCGGATCCGGACCCAGACGCCGACCTATACGGACCCGGACCTATAATCAATACATTAATAGGGGAATTCAATTTTGACGGGGCGATTCTATTTTAACCGCTGCCGACGGGGGGCGAAAGAGACGAGTGAGCGATACAGGGAGAGAAACACAGAAGAAGAGACGAGAGAGCGGCAGAGAGAAGCGGAGAGGAAAGTGAGTGAAGAGAATAATTAGCAGAGGTGGGGACTCGAGTCACATGACTTGACTCGAGTCAGACTCGAGTCGCATATTTTTGGACTTGAGACTTGCTTGACTAACATTGATAAAAGACTTGACTTGACTTTGACTTGGTATTCATGACTTGAGACTTGACTTAAGCTTGAGACGGATGACTTGAAAGGACTTGTCTGTTTAAAATTAAATATTTGCGTTTGTTTTTGTAGTGAGATATTACGTTTAGTTTTTTCGAAAAATGTGATTGGGTGATTATAGCGCCGTGCACGCAAACCTGGCAACCCACTAGACGGCAGGAGCGTCAGTTAACATGGCAGCGGCTAGCGTTACTCCAAAAATAGTGAAGTTTGGATTCAAGGATTATGTTGTCGATGACGCTAATAAGAAGAGAATAGCGGTATGCAGGGTCTGCAGCATAAAGATCAGTGACACGACCACCACAACATCCAACTTAATTCGTCACTACAAAAAAACCCACAGAGAAAGGTGCGTGAATGTGTTGTGTTAGCTAGAAAGCTAACGTTAAGTTTAAGCTACGTTAGACTTGGTTTCAAATCGATTAAGCATTGCAAAGAGAAGACAAAACGGTAAATGAACACTAGAACCGCCAAGGGATTCATTTGTACTAACCCCGATACTGACGGGCTGTCAGGAGAGGGAGAGAGAGAGAGAGGAAAAGAGATGCCTCGTTTATTTCCCCTGTGTTATCAGAAGTTACTGTAAACTGTTGAATAATGTACTTTTAGTAGTTTGTTTGTAAATTTATTGTAAAATGAATCTGAACTTTTTTATCTGTTATGATGATAAACTGAAGCAATTTCTAAATTAACCCAATTAACTGAGTTTTAAATCGTCCTACTTTAGTTTATAAGGAAATTATGAAGAGGAACAAATTAAATGATTTGAAAATGATATCTATGTAGGTGCTGACGCTGTTGGCGGTTCTAGTGTTAACAGAAATTTAAATTAAATATGTGTAATGGCAAATGCCATATATGATTTTCTTACCTGGAATTCTGCCTTTTTGAACAGACTTTTTAATTGAGTCCTAGCTATATTGTCTGCAGTTCTAGGGTTAATATTAATCTAATATGATTGTCATCGGTCTAAATTAGATTTCAAATGATTAACTGTGTATGTAATGAAGATCATAGTGTGGGTTAAATCCATTTTCATAACCACTGTCTTTTAACTGATTTAAATGGGGAAACTGGGCTTATTCATCAGAATTTCGTATGACTTGACTTGACTTGCTTGACCTGAGCAATGACTTGACTTGACTTGCTTGACTCTCACCACGGTGACTTGGGACTTGCTTGATACTTGTAGGTCAAGACTTGAGACTTGCTCATGACTTGCACATGTAGGACTTACTCCCACCTCTGATAATTAGCGATACAGGGAGAGAAGCGGAGAGGAGAGTGAACAGGCGTGTTAGCGGCAGACAGGGAGAGACAAATAATTACACATGGCACTCTCCAAGAAGAGGAAAGTGGACAGTGAGAACAGAGCTTTTAACCCTCAGTGGACGGACTCATTCATGTTCATCCTGCCCACTGGGAGCACAGAACCAGTGTGTCTCATTTGTTCAGAGACCGTGGCGCTCATTAAAAGTGCCAAAACGCCACTATGAGACAAAACATAAAGTGTTTGACCAAACATTCCCTCTCAAGTCAGAACTGAGGTCACAAAAAATAAGCAGTCAGAGCCCAATATGATCAGTCCACCAGGATCAAAACTAAATATGGTTCCAGGGCAGGCTAACCGAGGCTAACCAATGAGCACCTGCATGTGTGTATGAGAATGGCCCTGACACCATTTCAGCCCAGATTTAAACTCCTGGCAGGACAAGCTCAAGCTCAATTTTCGCACTGAATTAAAAAAAAGCGAGTGAGGGACTGCAATATAAGAGGGAAAGAAAGAGAAACTTTAAAACTGTTCAATTGTTATGATGTGTAAAGACTGATATTGTTCTATTATCGGCTGAAACTGTTAAGTCATGATGTGAAACGGTTAACAAAGAAAAAGGGAAACTCAAGCTGCTGCTGCACTTTATTTTATTTATCTAAAATTAAGCACTTTTAAGATGCACATATTTTCAAAAGCTATTTTATTTATTTTCTCCTATTTTATTTTTAAATGCAGCCCGAGAGGAACATTACACATATCCACAGTATTTTACTGTATATCTGTATAGTTCAATGTTAATTGACAATAAATATTGTTGTTTATGAATTGTACTTTCTTTATTTGATTGGCAGTCAGTTGTTGATTACATGCAGACGTTGATAAAGCTGCAGGCTACTTCAATATATATCACACTAATTCATAAAGCAACTTAGACATGTTGATGTTCCGGACCTTTGCATGGGGAGATTTTCTCTAACTGGACCTCGTTGAATTTTAGTTGAATACCCCTGCTCTACGGCATACCATCCAACCTCCTCAATAAACTCCAACATATCCAGAACTCTGCTGCTCGCCTCCTCACCCACACCCGCTCCCGAGACCACATCACTCCCGAGACCACATCACTCCCGTCCTCCAGAACCTCCACTGGCTCCCCGTCCGTCAAAGAATCGACTTCAAAGTCCTCCTGATTACTTACAAAGCCCTCAACAATCAGGCCCCCCCCTACCTCACAGACCTGCTGCACCACCACACCCCTTCCCGCTGCCTCCGCTCATCAGAAGCCAACCTCCTATCCATCCCCACCCGCACCAATCACCGGACCTGGGGGGACAGAGCCTTCTCCGTCGCTGCCCCCTCCCTCTGGAACTCACTCCCACAACCCATCAGAGACTGCACTGACCTAACCACCTTCAAAACACTCACAAAAACTCACCTCTTCAATCTGGCTTTTAATGTGGGATTGTTTTTGTATTATTTGACTTTTAACTTTAACTATATATATGTATTTGTTCTTTTCTTTTCACTATATCTGTAAAGCGTCTTTGAGCACCTGTAAAAGCGCTAACAAAATAAATCTATTATTGTTATTATTATTTATGACAACCTGTGCAGCCCATGTATTGATTCCATCCGATAGCTGCTATAATACAAAACAAAACGTCTGCCTGCTCTCCACAATGATCAATAACAGCGAACGGATGGTCAAAGTAAGGTACAAATAAACAGAATCACACTAAGCCTGGTTAGTGTTGCCTGACTTTATAAAGTGTGTTTTTTTTATAAGTGTGTGGTTGCGTTCTAGTCACTTTGGTCAGCGCTACTGCTTGTTACAACTTTCATTTGCCGTACTCGCCATAAACTGTTATTGCTCAGGTTGAAAAAAAAAAAAATGGCCTGGCTGATTTGTACAATTGTTGAGTGATTTTTAGGGGTTATTGATGATGCTGAATGCATTCTGACTTTTTCAGGATCCAAAAATGGCAGTTTTAACAATTTTTCTAACTATTCACAGCTGGCAGTTTTGTAACCAAGACATGAGATATGATACTTTGGGCCTCGTTGTCTGTGTGTTTAAAAAGACACTTGTCATAGAGTTTAAAAATACACTTGATTGCACAGAGGGATTACATGACATAATTGTCAGGTACGAATAGCATTACATGAGTAGTTAAAAAATAGCCTGGCTGATTTGTACAATTTTGGAGGGATTTTTGGGGGTTATTGAGGATGCAGAATGCATTTTGACATTTTCAGGACCCAATTTAGCAGTTTCAACCAATTTGTAACTATTTTGCATATGTTATGATACAATTGAATGCTAATTAACCCAACTAATGCTAATTGTGCAAATTGCCCAACAAATGCCAGTTAGCATCTGGCAGTTTCTATGTGCTGTGTACCTGTACTTTACATTTTTAACATAAAACTTTGGGGTACTCAACATTTCCGGGTTCATAATGGAACTCTTTGAGATGAAAACTAGGCAAAAATATAATAATCACCAGGGGCCTTATTTATAACGCCTTGCGTAGGATTGACGTGGGAAGGTTGCTTACGTAGTACAAAGCAAAAAAATAGGTACAGAAATGTTCCGACATTTTCCGATTCACAAAACATTGCGTACCCGCGAGGGAAGTGCGTATGGCACTTCCTACGCCTATTTCCCTGTTTCAATCACAATCGACTCGTAACGCCCATATTTGCCTATAAATAGTCAAAGAAACGCCCATTCATTCATTCATTTTGACTGACTGCATGAAGAAGATCGCAGGAAATGAGGACAGAACAGCTAAAAAAGACATCTCACACCGTGTCAGATTTTGGTTATTTTGGGGAGGTCGAGATAAATCATATTGTTTGGTGGATGCAGTTTGAACCAGAGTAGCAGCATGGAGGTCGGATCGTCACCAAAATAAATAAATAAGTGGTCCGAAAAAAGTTAATGACAAAAAAAATACACATAACCTTCCTCATGCAGTGTGTTTGTCCCGGGGACAGGAGACACCCCCCTTGATGAGAAACTGTAAGAAATGATCGGGGAATCCCTCCGGAGTGGAGTCATGACGACTGGATCTGAATTATTTTTTTGTATTTGGTGGTTTGTGTTCCAGCTGTCGATCAGCAACTATATATCCATAATCCACCAGTTAAAGGAAATACAACTAATGTGTTGTGTTATATTAGCTGTACAATTTACCACATATGGTGTTCTTAGTTTCCATACCTCCTGTGTTTTACGAGCGACTTATCAAGTCTTGGCAAACGGCATAAAACACGATTAAACGTGATAGTATATAAAACCATGCTCGTATCTACAACCTATAGAAATGCAAAACGGCGTCAGTTTAGACGTAATTCTGTCCTCCTGCTTACCGCATCATTTATGAGAAAACATTTCATAACATTAACACAACATATTCGAGGTGGTTTTAAATAACATATCCGTATTTATTTATTTCTCCAAGTTATGTTTTTGTGTGCACTGAGGAGTCTCAAACAGGCGTTTGTTTAATCATTTTAAGATTGGCTTTAATCAATGTTTGAAAATGAATTCTTCATATTTGATAAATGAGAGGTAACATTTTATTTATGGTATTATTTCCACATATTTCTCTCCATTCTTCCTTCTGCCAACGGTGTCGCAGTTTCTCGTCTCTCCCGTTTCTGTGCTTAGTGCGTACGCATGGGTTAGAGTTTGCGTGGAGGACCGCACATTTTCCCGTCAAGTTAGTATTTTATAAATCGCAAACATTGCGTAGAAACTGGCGTACGCCATTTTTTGAGCATATATCCCTTTATAAATGAGGCCCCAGGTGCCCAACACTGCCTTCAGAATAAAAGCATGAAGAATTACTCAAATAATTGCAATAAATAATGATTCATTCAATATAAACAAAAACAGCCAGAAAATGAATGGTTTCTTACTAAATAGAATAATTGAATGTATAGCTCCAACACCCTATTTAAAGGTCACCTATTATGCAAAGTCCCCTTGTTCATGTCTTTTATACATAACCATGTGTCCCCTCTGTGTAAAGAGATTCTGAAAGTTTCAGGAACAAAGATTCTCTCTTTTTGTCCTGATCCATTTATATAAAAACCTGTGTGAAAATGAGCTGATCAGATTTTGGCCACATTATGATGTCATAACGTTTTTTTGGCTTGTGTAACCATTAGCCAATCACCAACCAAGGTAACCCCCCCCCCCCCCCTTATCACCTGAATCTCCTCCTAGAGCACCATTGTGTTCTTTGTAACCAAATATCTCTCATGCCCCTTTCACACCGGCGCTTTTTCAGCTCCGGCTCGCAGCTGGAGCCTGAAAAGTACCGGTTTTTCCTGTTCACACCGCAGCGGCGCCGCCTCTTAGCTCCGGAATCCGGTTCACTTCCAGCTCCAAAGAATTGTCGGTCTAGAAGCAAGAGCTTCGGAGCTAAGAGGCGGCGTCGCTTACGTCTCTCTTACGTCGAGGCGTGCAGGAAACTAAACCCACCTCCCCTGAACATGGGTCGACTGAAGAGTCTCGTCATGCCTGCCTACAAGCAGTAGCGCTGAGCAAAGTGACTAGAAGGCAACCACACACTTATAAAAAAAAAACACACTTTATAAAGTCAGGCAACACTAACCAGGCTTCGTGTGATTCTGTTTATTTGTACCTTACTTTGACCATCCGTTCGCTGTTATTGATCATTGTGGAGAGCAGGCAGACGTTTTGTTTGTTATTATAGCAGCTATCGGATGGAATCAATACATGGGCTGCACAGGTTGTCATGTCCGACTATCACAAGTAGAATCATAATGAAAAATACGCCGGTAAAATGTGCCTGTAGAAAACGGCTTAGCAAGTAGTCAGTTTAGCTTCGGTTGCTATGCTAACATCACCCATGTTATACCAGAGAAACTTTCATAACAGCGTTGTGATGCCAAACAGCCTCAATTCAGACTGACACACATTCACTTAAGGGGAACTGGGGATATGTATCAGCTGCTTGTGTGACAGTCAGACAGTGAATACTTTAGAGCCGTGTGAGCTAACCCGGAGCTAACGGGAGAATACACTCCCGTGGAAGAGCAGCCAGCTCTGCAGCGGTCGGTAAATGCCGCTGAAACACATTAATAAACAATGAACCACGGCACTCTGGAGAAAAGTATAAGGTTGGAGAAGTCGTTATTTAATTTAATCTGGCTTCGTATGATTAAAAGCAACACGATCATCGACCCGACGCAGTCCCCCGTTGTTGTTGTTGTTGTTGTTGTTGTTGTTGTGAGCTCCGTTGGGGAGAAAATCAGCGATGTAAACGGTGACGTCATGACGCAGCAGCGGCAGCTCTGGGCGGTGTGAACAGAGCGGGAGCAGAAAAGGGAAACCGGAGCTGAACCAGAAAAGCTCTCGCTAGGAGCTAGAAAGGGAAAAGCGCTGGTGTGAAAGCCGCACTAGAGCACCATTGTGTTCTTTTTAACCAAATATCTCTCAGAGGGGCGTGGGGAGGGGCTCCTTATTTTCATCTAAAGTAACAGACAGAGAATCAGCACTTTTGAAACAGGGCTGAAACAGAGGGGATTATGGGATGCTACAATGATCTGTTTGGTGTTTCAGCCAAACACTTCAGAGACATGTTTTGTATATATCTGAGACCTGTGATATATTGATGTAAAACAGTCTAATAGCGGTCCTTTAACTGTGCTCTCTCCTCTGTCTGGCTCTCAGGAGGGAAACAACCCGCAGGGCAGCAGTCAGGGAGTGAAGATCACAAAACAGCCGAAGAAGAACAGCTTCTTCCGCTGCTCGCTGCTGTGAGGAGACGAGAGTCGGCATCCACCATCGCCTTAACGGAGTCCCACTGGACACAACTGGACAGAGCACACTCACCTCTTACCTTCCTTCACTTCGTCTTCCTCTCTTCTCTCCATATTAGGAAAAACAAAAGTGTATCGCTCCCTTGACAACTGTGAATCTAACTCCTGTGGCCTCCATTAGTAAATCTGTGTCTCTTTTTGTACGGTTGCTAATTAGATTCATACGTCTTGAGATTTTATTGCCTTTTTTAAAGACTTCTTGTGAGACGATCAAACCACTTTACTGCTCATGATAATGTCTCCTCCTCTCTCGTTGAAGTCTTATTTATTCGATCCTTATCACTTAAAGTAGCCCAGATTATACCTCCAGAAAAGACTTACTATTCCATATGGGCTTCCTTATTCTGAATATAATCATCTGTCAAATATATATAGTCAGTGTTTCCCCTATATACAAATAGTGGCGGCGCAGCACCGCTGCTGAAATATGTGCGCCGCTGCTAGGGGGTGCCAGCCAGGTACCCAAAAAAAAAAAAAAAAAAAAGATTATTTTTTACTTTTTTATTTTTTATTAAAATAATAATAAGTGGCGACCCTTTTTCATTTTTGATTGTTTGTTAAGTGTATTTGTAGTATTTACTGTTACTGTATGTTTAATAAAGGTGTATTTTTGCTAAATCTTGAGACATTGCCACTTTATGGCCGATTTTTGGCGACATAGGCGGTCGCCTAGGGCGCCAGATCTGGGGGGCGCTGCGCTGGTAGCTCTGGGAGGGGAAAAAACATTTTTGACCGTTGGCGCTCATCCTAATTTTCGGCCTTGATGTAACAACATTCATAATTAAGTAATTGTAACACCCTTTTCACCCCGGTTACACTTTTCATTTGCCCTGTACAAAAGTGGGGGATGTTGGCTTATCAGGCGCCCGCAGTTCACAGCCAAAGTGCGAGCTTGGGAGCGAGCGAGGGAGAAAGAGAGAGGGCGCACCGGTTCCGGCGCTGTTGTTATTAGAATCTGGTGCTAGCTGCGCTAACGGATATAAGAAGTAGATGTTTCTAAAACCAGGGTGGAGAGCTCTCCTGTCAGACTGAGAGGCTCAGTGAGGTAAAGGACTCTGAGTGTTTAGATTGTTAATTTTAGTCTAAGTTGTCTCAGTGGGTCTCAAACGTTTTTGACCACAAATTATGTAAACACATATTTCCAAGGCACTCCTTTATAATTATTAGGATAAATAAAAACAGGTTTGAAATCATGTTCATATACTTATTTGATTATTAAAATGTAAACCGATCTTTTTCATATGGGTGTTTAGAGTTGTACCCCCTAGATCTAGTCTCTAGTAATTGTGTGCTCAAAGTGCACCAGATCGAAGCATTTTACTTTAAAATCCACCCCCCAATTCAAACATGTTCATACAATACTGAATACATTTGAAGCCATTATGACGTATATAACCTATGTCAATAAGTTTCAGTTTTTGTAGTGTATTTGTCTTTTGTAGAGATTTTTCATTTATTCTTTATATATAAAATCTCGCCTAGGGCAGCAAATTGGCTAGAACCGGCCCTGGTACTAGGCCTCAAGAGCCTTTCTTGTGCTGGCAGACACATAGGCCCTTTCTCATTTCATCAATTCCCCCTCCTCGACTCCTCGGTCCTCCGGTAGTGACCCGGAAATCAATTTTAGCGCGCCATGTTGAAGGACATCTCATTTCTCTAAATGCACATCGAGGACCGAGGATCGAGCGTCGAGGAGGCTCTCTGGAGGAGCTATAACCGAGGATACACTGATGGGTCCTCCACGGCTCCTTCGTGGATGCATTTCCGGGAACAGTGATGTTTCAAAGAGTCGAGACCACGGCCGGACTTATCTCAGCCAATGACAGCTCTGCATGCATCCCCTGGATATTATTTTATTAACTGCTTTCATCGCGACGCGATGTTTACAGTGAGAACAGCTGTGAGGTCCGTGCAGAAAGTGCTTTTCGGGGGTTCCCATTTCCTGCAGAGCAGTGTGATAATATATATCACTCAGTATAACAGGCCTACATTACTTTCTTTATTTGCGTTAGTTTAGTAGATATCTACAAACAAAGAGTCGATATTTTTCTAAAACCATTTAGTGCTTCACATAATAACATACACAACGGCTGTAGCCTGATTATATGCTTTAGGAGCTGTAGGTGCGTGTGTGTGGTGTAGGTGTGTGGTACAGTGTGTGGTAGATGCAGCGGACAGACAGGTCTCAGTTGGTTTGGTGTCCTCGCTTACTTTTAATACTTGTAAGTAAAACTTTTGGCCCGTAATTTACTTTCCTCATTCTAGCGACCAGAGAGGGGAGAGGGGGGGTGGGGATATATCCAGTCTCTGATAGTGTTACGTTATTATGAGAGTGCTGTTTGATTCTGAAATTGTATATTTATATAAATATATACGTGTGTGTGTGTGTGTGTGTGTGTGTGTGTGTGTGTGTGTGTGTGTGTGTGTAGCCTGTAGCCTGTTATTGTCTCATTATACCGCACTGTCAATGAATTAAAAGTAAATATATAAGTCGTCATGAACACATCTGTCCATCAGACAGAGGGCTGCTGTGCCTCCTGTCATCATTGTGGAGGAAACTTCTGTGTAGTAATGCATGGAGTCACCGACTCAGGAAGGAGACACGGTGAGAGTTGGAGCTTTGATGTCAAACACTGAAGGTTCAAGGTTCAAGGTTCTTTATTGTCAATCTGACATAGCTACAGAGTAATTATGCAGTTGAAAATCTTATGTCACAGGCTTCTCCAACAATGCAACATAATAACATAACATAATAACAATAAGAGCAAGAGCAATACAAAAATAATAATAGTTATAAAAATGAAATAAAGTTATGATGTGGAATAGTGCAGTATGAGTCTATATACAAGTTATTGGAATGATATATATATATTAGGTATTAGATACATACTACTGAGTAGCAGTTGAATGTTTGAAGTTGTTTCAACAGTTCAATTTTTTAACAGTCTCACTGCCCGCGGGAAGAAACTGTCTCCGAATCTTCTTGTCCTTGCCAGGATGCTGCGGTAACGTCTGCCAGACGGCAACAGAAAGAACAGTTTGTGGCTGGGGTGATGGGGGTCTTTGATAATCCGTAGTGATTTCTTCCTGAGCCGCTGGGAGTAAAGGTCCTCCATGGATGGCAGCTCCGTCCTGGTGATGTGCTGTGCAGTTTTCACCACCCTCTGTAAAGCCTTACGATCGAGGTCGGTGCAGCTGCCGTACCAGGCCGTCATGCTGCCAGTGAGGATACTCTCTATCGTGCACCTGTAGAAGTTGCAGAGTATCCTGGAATCCATTTTGAACCTCCTCAACCTGCGGAGGAAGAAGAGCCGCTGTCGAGCTTTCTTAGTGATGGTGGTGGTGTGAAGAGACCATGTCAGGTCCTCAGTGATGTGGACCCCAAGGAACCTGAAGCTTTTGACTCTCTCCACCGTAGTCCCATTGATGGCGATGGGGGCGTGTCCCTCTCCCTGCTGCTTCCTGTAGTCCACAATCAGCTCCTTTGTTTTGCTGATGTTGAGATGGAGGTTGTTCTCCTGGCACCAAGATGTCAGGTTTTCGACCTCCTCTCTGTATGCCGTCTCGTCATCGTCTGTGATCTGGCCGATGACGGTCGTGTCATCAGCAAACTTCACGATGGTGTTGGAGCTGTGTGTGGCCACGCAGTCGTGGGTGAACAGGGAGTAGAGGAGAGGGCTGAGCACGCAGCCTTGAGGGGCACCGGTGTTGAGAATCAGGGTGGAGGATGTGATATTTCCCACCCGCACTGCCTGGGGTCTGCCCGTCAGGAAGTTCAGGATCCAGTCGCAGAGGGCGCTGTTGAGTCCGAGGTCTCTGAGCTTGATGGCCAGCTTGGAGGGCACAATGGTGTTGAATGCTGAACTGTAGTCAATGAACAGCATTCTCACATATGTGTTCCTCTTCTTCGGGTCCAGGTGTGAGAGGGCAGTGTGGAGGGTGAGGGCTATGGCGTCGTCTGTGGACCTGTTTGCTCTGTAGGCAAACTGCAGGGGGTCCAGAGATTCAGGGAGGGAGGAGGTGATGAATAATTTGACTAACCGCTCAAAGCACTTCATTATGATGGAGGTGAGTGCTACTGGGCGGTAGTCGTTGGGGCAGGTGATGATTGTCTTTTTGGGGACAGGAATGATGGTGGAGTGTTTAAGACATGTGGGGACTACAGACTGCAGCAGGGACCTGTTGAAGATGTCTGTGAACACCTCTGCCAGCTGAACTGCACACACCCTGAGAACACGGCCAGGGATGCCATCAGGTCCAGGAGCCTTGTGTGGGTTAACCCTTTTAAAGGATTTACACACATCTGCCCTATTTAAAACAAAAGGGCAGTGTAGCTCCTGGTCCCTCTGTACCTCCACAGCCTGGCTGCTCTCAAAGCGTGCAAAAAAACTGTTTAGCTCATCTGGGAGAGATGCGCACGCAGACACTCCCGCAGCACCCCCCGCTGCTCCTTTGTAGTCAGTCATTGTCCTTAGTCCCGCCCACATATTCCTAGTGTTACAGCCTTTGAAGTCAGATTCCACCTTCTCTTTGTACTGTCTCTTTGCATTTTTTATTGCTCTCCGGAGATCATACCTAGACTTCCTGTACTCCTCCAAATCTCCCGCTGTGTGCGCGAGAGTGCGCGCTTTCAGTTTGCCGCGCACCTCACCGTTTACCCAGGGCTTTTGATTTGGGAATGTCCGTACAGAAACCTTCGGTACCACGTCATCGATGCATTTCCCAATGTAGCAGATGACAGTGTCCGTGTGTGTGTTGATGTTATTGTCCTCAAACACACTCCAATCCGTGGATGCAAAGCAATCCTGCAGTGCTGAATCTGACTCCTCGCTCCATCGTTGTACTGTCCTTGTTATCGGTCTGTCCCTTTTAAGTTTCTGCTTGTAAGCAGGCAACAACAGTAGTGAGATATGGTCTGATTTGCCGAAGGGAGGGCGAGGGAGAGCCTTATATCCATTCCGGAAAGGGGAATAAACATGGTCCAGTATGTTTCCCCCGCGCGTCGGGAAGTTGATGTGTTGGTAATATTTTGGCAAAACCTTCTTCATGTTGGCGGTGTTGAAATCTCCGGCCACAACGAACGCCGCATCTGGCCGTGAAGTCTCGGTTTTATCAATAAACCCAAACAGCTGATCGAGTGCCGTGTTGTTGTCGGCGAGTGGCTGCGGCGGGATATACACTGCTGTTATCACAACAGATGTGAATTCCCTCGGCAGATGGAAGGCCCGACATGAGATCATGAGGTGCTCTAGCTGTGCGGAACAGTCCGATGAAATAATCTTCACATCTGAGCACCAGTTGTTGTTAGTCATTACACACACACCGCCTCCCTTACTTTTCCCCGAGTTTGCAGTCCGGTCCTGACGAAAAATAGAGAATCCGTCAGGGACAATAGCGGAGTCCGGGATAGCGGGGTTGAGCCAAGTCTCAGTGAGAATTAACACGTTACAGTTCTTAATGTCCCGTTGAAAAGCAATCCGGCTTCTGAGTTCATCTAGCTTATTTTCAATGGATTGAACATTAGCCA